ATATCAACTGGAATCAAAAGTATTTGGAGCCAAACCCCACGGTATTGGGTGTATTTAGGAGACATCACCATGTATTTTTGATGCCTGCTGCACACTATCAGTACTAGATAAATACTCTGTGAACGGATCAGGCATTCCTCATTACTTGTTGCAAAAGCAGTGTAAGAATGGGCAGAGTGCCTCTCTCTGCTGAGTTCCTTTGCAGGTGGGCTGGTGCCCCTGTGGATTGCTGGTCACACAGAGCCAGAAGCTGGCTCCCAGTGAGCTGGGTCAGCTCCAGCACCGCCCTGTGGGGCCCTTGCCCAGGACATCCAGCAGGGACAGCCCCAGGATGGCGCCCGCTGGCCACCTCCTGGCCGCTGGGCAGACACCAAGGCACCGCTTACCCACAGGAAAGAACGACTTCATTATATCAAAGGTTTACCCTTTTTTTCCTACAATCAGCGTTTTAATTTTTTTTCCTTACATCTTTGACCCTCAAGATCTCCCTACAGTCTTTCCCAGGCTTTTGAACAACCTTTAATTCTTTTTAAACACAAAAATGTATGGGATGACACCTATAAATCTGTGGCTGCTAGACAGAGAGCAGTTTTAGGTGCACTGCAGAAACATCTTTAAGTTAGAGGAAACAGATCTACGGCTTTCAGTATCTGATTCCAGATGTAAATGCTCCAAAAAAGAAACACCACCTTTTGCTCTCAGTTAAAAGTTGCATCCCCTAAGGCTGTACCAGTAAGGCACCATGTACCACATGGTGTAGTTGTGCTTCCCTGCAAATCTTAAGATGGATTAGTGTCTACAGATTCACCTGCCTGCTCAGCAATCCCTCCCCATTTATCTAATTCACATTATGTCTGGTCTAAATTCATTATCCCCCACTCACAGAGGGCGAGGCTTAGGAAAAACTGTCTAAAATAAACACCAGTCTTGCCTTAGAGCAGCTTCTGTTGTTCACTACAGCTGTGTGAACAGTTCATTTTTCATGTGTACACATAAAACCCTGCAAGGCCCTGCCAAATTTATGGGGTGTAGATTACTCTTATCAAGACCAGAAAGTGCACAAAACTGGAACAAAAAGCCAGATATTACCCCCAAAAATCTTTAAAACCATGGAAGCCAGAGCTATACAAGTAGTTTTCTCTGCAAAAGTCTCTATTTGTGCATATTATCTCTGAACTTTGAGCTTATTAATAAAGTAATTTTAGAAGGAACATTTTGTATACTTATTTTCTTAAAACATCAACAGCCAGCTAACTTTCTTAATGCAATTTACATTAGCAAAAAAAATTGGAAACATAAGAACACATTTTAGTAAAAGTAAACCTGAAAATCCTATTACAAAACAGAGAAAGGAAAAGTCATTAGAAAGGAATAAAAGTTCACATTTTTTCCATTTTTATCCATTAAAAAAAAGTCAGCTTTAAAGAATTTTTTGCTTTGCTCTACTATTTGCACCAAAGCCCAGCTTTGGACAGGAGGTGGTGCTATAGTCTGTATATATTTTGTTGTTAGGCAACACCAATAGCTAAAGCTTACTAAAAGCAAAAGGATAAGGGAAAAAAAAGAGAAACATTCTAAGTCCTGTAGAAGTGCTGGCATGCAGACTTTACTTACAGATGCTTTCATGTCAGTAGGTATTCTGTAACAGTGCTAAAAAGTTTCGTAAGAAGGCACTGAAATATTTGTGTCTGTCAAGGATTGCAAATACCTAGCAAAACATGATTATCAAAGCATGGAAAAATGCACAGCTCTAGGCAAGCTGTAACAGTTTTTATGTGGCCAAGGCTCTGTTGAGTAGCTCTGGGCCATGAGGAAACTGATGGAACAGTGGAAGATTTTTGCAGCTCCAGTGAGAGCATTCTGTCTACCTCTCCCCGAAGAATGTCAAGGTTATCTGCAGGGTCAGATTTACTGGGCCAAGATGAAATACCAAAGCAGGAATCCAAACCCCATGACTAGGTTAATGCCCTTTCCCCCTCTCTCCTTCCTTCTTTTGCTTTCTTTCCCCTCATGCCCACCTAGAAGCACCAAACATGGCATCTTTTGAAGATTTTTTTCTTGCTGTCCATGTTGCCCTGTCTCTATCCCCATTTGACACCTGTAATTTTACTGGGAGGGCTGTTCTGGACTGCAGTCTGCTTGACAGTGGTCCCATCAGCAGCCAAGCTGAGAGAAAACAATTGTGGAAGACTCATTCCCTTCTGGCTGCACTTCCTCTCCCGTTCTCATCTTTTCTTTGGAAAGGAAACTAACAAATTTCTCCCAGAATAGGTCCAAGGGGTATTTTTTAAGAGAGTAGATCTTTCTTTCATATATTCCTTTCTGAAACTATCAATCATCCATAGCCTGCTAAAGCCAAGAACTAGGTGTCAGACCAAGGCCAACAGCAGATTGTGGGAGAAATTCTTATCTCAGTTACACAAGTGTGGATCTGGAGGAACTCCAGTTATTAAACAATCTATAAAATCAGGATAACAATAAGTATTATTTCAAAAAGGTTTGTGATGGTTAACTACCAGTAATTAATGCTGGTATAGAAAACAGGCAATGGTTGCCTGGAAATGAAAGGCACTATAGAAATTCTAAGTACTCATTATTTCTGCCATTTGCAATTATGCTTTTCAATGTAATCTATTTGTTGTAGTCAGGGTGCCCATCAATGCTCCCTGCAGACCCCAATGTATTGTCCCTTAATAATTCACTGGTCTCAATAACATTAGTTCACATTTAATTGGGGGAAAAAAAAAAGTTTACCTCTTTCTAGATGCCATTACAGATGAAGGTACAATAAACATGAAAGTCAAATTTCACAAACACGAGGGAGTGGGTGTGAAGGCAGAATAACTTGAAAGTATTTCACTTGAAATGGATGGACTTGAAGATCATTCTACAACTGCAAAATGGGATTAAAAAAATAAATGAAAACACTTTTATTGAATGGGATCTGTTGAAGCTTTAAGATTATTAATCAATTATAGTAGAAATTAGACTTCAGGGTAAAATGATGCTATAATTACTTACTTTTCTAAAGACCTATTGATGCTTGTGATCCTACAACTATCTTCTGAAACACTTTTCTATCCTTTATCAAAGAATGTTCCTATAAACAGATTTAAGTAATTACCTGCAATCAAATTAATTGTAAATCAGAACTGGATAAAAATGTTTATATGTCAAGTAAATACTGATTTTTTCAAAGATATTCAAAAACACATATGTTGAATTTCACCCAGTCTAGAGGAAATTACATGAATATATGATAAATTATTTGTTGGTACTTAGACAGTGCCAAATGAGCAATGTTACATCACTGTTTTTAAGTAACACACTTTGGAAAATTGTTTCGTGACAGAATTTTTAAGTGGTCTTTTAAAGCTCAAGGTTCGACTGTAAGATGTCCCTGGATAGGGACACCAAAAAATGTGTATGTTACAAAATATGCACCAGAAACACAGAATATTTATAGCACAATATCTAGGTCCACAAAACATGAAACTCTTAGCTGTTCAGGGATTTAGGCTAAGAAGGAGGCTGCAATCAGAGATAAAGGAGGGTATAGCTGTGTTTCATGGCCTGCATTTTTTCTGCTTTCCAGCTGTTGCAAGAACTCAGCACAGAAAGACTGGAACCGGGAACTTCACAGTGGAGCAGAAAATCAAAATTAAAACTCCCTGCTCAGCAGCTTTGCCATTAACTCCTTCCACAGGAACTTGAGGAGGGCAAGATCTGCCCCTCCAGGCCATGCTGTCCCATCCCAGGGCTCTCTGAAACAGGAGCTCAATCAGCAGCTGGGTACTGGCTATGGCTTCCCAGCTGTCCAGCTTCCCACTGCTCACACAGGCTGGTGTGGGAGCCAGTGCATCTGGGACTTCACTGGTCAGCAGTGCTCTGGAAAGCAATCAGGTGTTCAAAGCAACCTCAGCACTCCTCACACAGCCACAAAAGTGAGCTCAAGCAAGAACACTGCAAGAGAAAGCAGGCATTTGTTGTCTTGCCATGCAACTCAAAATTTTTGGTTGCCTCAGACTGCTTACAAGACATTATCCTGACAAGTGCAAAACTGCTCAGATAAAAAACTCTACTTCAGCATTTGCACTAATTCAATGGAGAAATAAGAGTAGCAAAAGCACTGACTGTGCAATATTTATTTAATAATTAATTATCTTACAAGTATAAAACTAAAATATATTAAGCCTTTTCTTTTTTGGGTAAAATTTATCTAAATACTTTCTTCCTTCCAGAGGACTCAAAAATTAATAGAAAAAGCTTAACCATGCTACATTTACAGCAGAACACTTTAAATGCAATGAAAAGAATTCTAAGATTCTACAGAAACAGAGGATATTTCATTAGGATCCTACTGGTTTTAATTCCTTTGCATGTCTTTGGCTTTTAGATTAAACAACACTACGCACAACACAGGCAACAACTGTGAAGAGAACATGTAATACAAACAGCTATTAAATTTAAGGTATAGGTTCTTGCCATATACTGGCTGTGAAAAAAGCATTAAGAGACAAAAAGTGACAACAAATACTTTGTTTCTGAACTATGCATGAGTAATTTGGTTGGTTAAGATCTGGTTGGTTATATTTATTACACTCTCAGAGATTAAAGATCACTATATATTCATAACTACAAATAGGAGGGGTTGTAATTTCAATTGTCTAAGGAGATACGTGTTCCTTTGTGCTTACATATTTTGTTAAAGATATAAAAGAAATGCATGCTATTTCTTGCCCACACCAATATGCAGAATTAAGCTACTAACATCAAAGAATTTTTCTGAGCTCAACTGCAGCTTTTGGAGTTCTGTCACACCGGCAGTGTCGCACAGGTGCCTTTTTAGGGCTGACAGAGGACTTACGCAGCACAGCGGTCAGCATCATTGCTGCCCGACCCCAGCCCTGCCTCCCGGGAAGACCGGCAATGTCTGTCCCCGGGGAGCCTGGGACCGCAGGGCTCTTTCCCGAACGGGTCCCTTTGCTGTTCCTGAGCCAGAGCTGCCTCTCCGAACTGCTGCTGCCGGCCCGTGCCGTGTGCGAGCCGCGGGGGCGGGCCGGGGAGGGGCGGCGGCGCTCGGGCGGCGGCGGGCACTCGCCCCGGGCCCGCAGGAGCGGCGGCACCCATGCCCGGTAAGTGCCGGGGGCGCGGGGAGGGAGGCAGGGAGGGGGTGCCCGGCTCCTCCCGCAGCCCGCCAGGGAACGGGCAGCCTGGAACTGCAGGGCGGGCAGCACCGCCCGGAGCGCCTGACACAGCAGAGCTCGGCCCTGGAGACAGGCACAGCAAATGTGGAGTCTTGCCTCCGCTCCCCCTCAATTATTTAATTTATAGTGGGGTTTAGGCCCAGTATATCATTAAATAATATAAATTACTTAATTTATATGTGGGCTTAGGCGGTGTCTTTATATGGGGATTAAAACTTGTGTTGGAGAATGTAAAGCTGCAAGCTCGTAAACTTGTTCATAAGCCAAAAAGCTTACTGCAAAGTTAAGTAAAGCTTATTAAAAGCATACAATCACACAGCAAGCGAAAAGGGATGCAATTCCAGAGGAGACAGAGGATGCCTGTCAACACCTGCTCTGTGCTAGGATAAAGCTGGTACCTATTAGCAGGAGACAGTCCCCTGGCTCGGGTGGGGGGAGATGAAGGAGTCCAACAGGTCTCTTCCATCTCCTCTGCCATGATCCTGTTCCACAGCAGGATACAACACATCAATTTCTCACGATGACAGGTAGTCATTTTAAAAGATACATATTTTCTCCCTGCACACAATGGATGCACCTTATCTCAGTGGTCGATTTGTGACTAGTGCTACATTGTGCCCTAAGCCACTGGTTCTGTTGCTGATCTAATCAGACAAGATGGTTTAAAAGCGAGACAAATTCTCCTTACTCTCATTAAATTACAGGTAACTATTGAAATGAATAAAACTTTACCTTATATCTACAGCTATGTAAAGTTTAAAAAAATCCCAGAATTTGAGTCTATGCCTATGGGTGTGTCATGAATGCTTTTCATTCTACAGTGAACAAATTCAGTACAAACTCATTAACTAAGAGATTGGAAACTCCTTCTCTTACTCCAAAATCAATGCACACCTTACTGTCTTTAATGGTAAATGGTGACAAACTGGCTATAGGGGAACACAGGACTAGCTGCTGAGAGCATCAAAGATTTGTAAATGAAGAGGACAAGTTAAACAACGACCTGTACAGCTTGCTTGAAATGTTAACCTTTCAGATCCTTATGTTAGACAGTAAAAGCACCAGCCATATAGATATTTGTGTTGTTTACAGTGCACCTACACAAAGGAAACCATAATTTCTATTATGTTTATGGGTATTAAACTGAAGCATTTTTTCTGCATTTGGCCTTCTCAGATGCAATAAAATGTGAGTCTGAAGATATATTTGAGCATGCCCTGCAAAACTAAAAGGAACAAACACACAAAATTCCCATGCTCATATGCATTTCCGCATACTGCGCATTCTTATAAAGGAAAACCAATTTACCTACATGGCACAATCAGACTTGTCTCTGTATTAATATTAACCCACATCAAGCAGGTGCTTGTTTCCTGTTGCTCAGAATAAGGACTGCACTAATAGCCTGGCTGAGTGCTGGACCCTACTCAGTTCACCTACAGCTGCAAGGACAGCAAAGTGCTGTTGCTGTGGCACAGCCGGGAGCAGGGTGGCTGCTCCGTGGTGGTGCTGGGAGACAGGAGTGACTGTGTGACTCAGGGAAGCAGCCAGCCAATTCCTGCAGAGCATAAAGCAACACACCTGGAGGGGAGCTGCAAAACCAACTTGGCTCCAGTGACTCCACCAAATGCAGGAAAACGAGTCAAGATCAGATTAAGGCCTTTGAGGTGCTATGGCCAGGTTAATTTATAGCACAAGGTAATTACTTAAGTGTTCTGTAGCTGAAGGACACTTCATGTCACTTACTGCAACAGGGCAACACTGAAAAAGATCAGCAATATATGTATTTGCAACTCACCTCCCATACTCTTTAAAGCTCTAATGAATAAACTAAATTAAATGAAAATAGTTTGGAACACTTCAAAACTATTATTATTTGATTGTCAAAACTATCACTAGTGTTAACTGATTACTTTGTGCCTGTATTGTCTTTATTTCACTTGTACTGTTGTACAGAGATGGCTAACTGCAAGGTACCTACCAAGTGCAGTCAGATAAAAAGAAAAAGGAGTAAAGCATAATCAAGTTAACTCTACCTAAAAGCAGAGAAGAGGAAAAAATTCAGTACCAGCTATGAGAAAATGCCAGGTCACTTCACTACTTCAGTTTCAGGGGAGACCTTGAGAACTGTCAGCATCGAGTACTCAGCTGCTCCTGAGCTGTCTGCCATGGCTGCAGAGTGGAAGATAGTTCTAGAGTTTAGGTACAGAGCAAAATAATCTTTGCAGCCTAGCACTCCAGCATTCTCAGCAAACATGTGAAAGCAACAAATTGAGCCCATTATCAATTGTCTATCCTTGGTCTAACGAGAAAGTCTCACAATAGAATTTCTCATATTAATATTAAATATATTTCTTAAGTTTTATTTGGGTTTTGGTTTGTTCTCAGTAATTATAACAAGATTTTGTTGCAGTTACGTACTCACGGTTCAGGAAACTGTGTTTAATGGATATTTAACTTGGACTTCACAGATCAGGAAACACATGCATCCTTACAAAGAAAACAAGCCATAGCTTTACTTTGTTCCTTGTGGCAGGGTCTAGACTCAATTCAACATAGATGAATAGTTGGAAGAACAAACCAAACCAAAATAATGGTACCTTTCATATTAGGTGTTCCAGGGTTCTCTTTTTCTTCCACTATGCAAGCTCTAGCACTTCTGCCATGCTACAGTAAATGTTAATGCAAAACAAGAGCCTGAGCAATTCTTTGGCATTTGGTTTTTTTCATGTCTGTAATCTCATATTGCAGTAACTGCAAGTGCTTCTGAACACTGTAATCTGTCACTGCCATTGTCAGAAGTCTTCAGGTGCTGCACCATGCTATAACCAAACAAAAATGTGTATGTGAGCTAAATGCTTCAGTTAAAAATAATTTTGGAATGGTTTTTGTTAGCTTTAATATTCCTGTCTACACCCAAAATATACTTGACTTTGATCTTCCTATGATGTTTTGTGTGCTTTTATGTTTGAACAGAACAAGCAGTTGCTGTGGCTGGAGGTATAATAGGAGGGATCCTTTTATTTTTTCTCATTGGAGTAACTGCATATCTGCTCTGGAAAAAATTTTGCTGCCTCTTTTCTTATGAAAAGCTCATCAATCCTGTCAAAACAACAAATGCAAATGCCATTTTCCAGGATCAGGCAAATTCTGAAATTCATCTAAAAAGCACAAGGTACCTTTTTTCACTTTGTTTTTAAAGCGTATGCTGTGTAATTTATTTCAACTTGTCAAATATCAAATGAGCATGTGATCCAAATATATGCATGTACAGAAATAAAGGAGATCCCTAAATTATATGAAAACATCAGTCATGTTCTGTTATGTTTTGTTCCTTTAGGAACAAATGTTCTGTTCATGTTTTGTTCCTTTAGGAAAAGGATAATCTAACTATGAAAGTGATGATTATTCCTGATTTATTTAAAAGAGAGAATATATTCAAGTGTAATTGGTGAATGGATATCTTTACCTGCTAGACAAACCCAGCCTAGGTTCCAGAGTAATTTCTAGTCTAATAAAAAAAACAATAGGACTTCAGGAAGGAGACTCTTAAGAGAATTAATCATTGCAGGGGTTTTGGGCTCTAAAACAAGCAGCTATAGTTAATTCTTCCTTTCCTTTGAAAGATAAATTCTAAAGGAAAGGAAAGGGGGAAAAAGAATAATCTGTCAGAAGACCTAATGTGCCTCACTGTCTTTTTATGCATTAAGCAATTGATTTTATTTTTACCTTTGCATATCTGTAGAATTTTTACACTCTGACATAAGAACAGTAAACTTGCTACTCTTATCAAGTTTGATGTCCAGCTTTAAACCAGAAGAGTCAATAGGTGCTGTTGTCTTGAGCAGATCCAGAAGTGTTCCATTTATCATTCCACCAACGCTGCATGGGCGAGACTGGATTCACCTGACCAATGAAGAACAGGTTCAGCAAGACAGGGACCCCTTCATGACCCCTCAGTCTGGGCCACGGTCATCATTTCATTCTTTGGGTATGGCATTGCAAAAATGGCACTATTTTTAAGGGTAGGGTGGCTTTACATAATTTAGTAGTTTATTAGATACATAATTTAGTATTATGTATCTTGGGGGCACACCAGAGATTGCATTACACAGCACAAGCCCTAAATGCTCCATACATTTATATATTATATGTATGAGAATTGGGCAAGAATGTAGTCATTTTGGTCCCAGTGCTGTGGTACCTTGCACATTTGGCAGACAAAGCAATCTCTCCTCTCATATTTTGTAAAGGCCAGGAAGTCTCTGTTGTCCCCAGAAACAGCAGTCACCAGCTGCACACTGCAACAACAAATAGCTAGAACTAACAAGGTACAATCACAGGAATAAGAAAAGCAAAGTAGTGCAGCCTACAATTACTCCCCCAAATTTGAGGGAAAAGGAAATAAAATATTAAATTCTTAAAAAAATTGATTGTTAATAAAGAGGGGAATCTGATTTACCCAAATACAGCAGTGGTTATAAAAATGCCTGCAATGGTTCTTCAGGCTAATCTGAGGGTGCTTGTTTTGCCTTTTCTTGTAGCTGGAGCTTATGTTGTAGGAACCATTAACCCAGATCTGTACAAGTTTCCCGAAGACAAAAGTGAAACAGATTTTCCTGATGGCAGCATTGGCCGCCTCTGGTTCTCCATAGAATATGAGCAAGAGTCCGAAAGGCTCCTTGTCTCCTTGATCAAAGTCAGAAAGCTGCAGCCTCCTGCTGACTCCTGCAGTCCATTTGTGAAAATCTACCTGCTGCCTGATGAAAGAAGCTACCTGCAGTCCAAAACAAAACGTAAAACTCTTAACCCGCAGTTTGATGAAAACTTTGTTTTCCAGGTACTTTTTCTTTTGATGAGGCAGATTTTTGTTTGCAAATATTAACTTGTCAAACTACAGTAGATGTTTGTATGTTCACAGTGCTTCTACCAAGATAGAAGCTGTTTCCACCAGAGACAGGATTTTTTACTGGGGCTTCTGGAGAACCTGGGCTTAGAAGTGTGTGGCTCCAGAACTGCTCTTACCTCTGGTCTGTACCAAAGTTAAGGGTTCCAGAACTTGCCCTGGGAATAACAAAAACTCCAGTTTGAACTACAGCTGAGCAGTTCAGCCCAGCAGTTCTAGAAGCCCAGAAGGAGCCAATACCAACATAATGCTTTCACAGCTTTTGGTTTCTTTGCTGTGCAAGTAGGTTAGACAGCAGAACCTGGGAGGTATCTCTGGGCTGCTATTTGTACAGTACTGCACAGCTTGGCTTCCCATGCTAACAGGCTTGCAGCACACATCACAAGGCAAAAGCTTTACAACTAAAAAAAGTTTGTGTTACAGATTCTAAACATCCGAGTCTGAAAGTGAATGGATCACACACACTAGATCCATGTGAGCTAAAAAAGCACCAACTAACTTCATAGCTTTCAAATTAAATCATATTTTAGCTTGTATCTTGACTTTTGCATAGCTCAATTTTTAGGCAAATTTTAAATGTACTTCAAATAAATAAAGGAAATATCCACCTAACCTTACCACAATTTGAAAAATATTTCCTTTGAAGTCATGCTAGAGCAGGAAAGTGTCAGATGTTTTATATATTAATATTCTTCATTTTCCTGTACAGGTTTCCAGTAAAATGTTGCTCCAAAGGACACTAAAGTTTTTGGTTTATCATGTTGATAAACAGAAGAAACATCATCTCCTAGGCCAAGTTATCTTTCCACTAAAAAATGAAGCATTAACTGAGGACAACAAACTAGTCATATGGAGAGATCTGGAGAAAGAAAACTTGGAGGTAGGTGATACTGGGCTGCTTGGCACTGTGGAACTTCTGTCATCTTACAAGTATTGGGAGGATGTAGCTGAAGAAGAACTATGTTCTAATTCAAATGCAAGTACCTCAAATGCAAAAGTACTTCATAAACATTTGGAATAGAAATTCCCATCTTACCAACCTGCAGATCGACAGCTGTTGTAAAGGGAGTACCCAGATGCTTAAAAAAATTACATGAATTAGGAGGTTGTTACATAAGAACTTTTGTTATTTGCTTCTCCTTTCAATTAGTAAGAGCAGAAGAGACAAGGAAATAGATATCCCCGGGAAAAGAGTAATTCTGAGGGTTAGGAAGGCTGATTAATTGGTTCCATCAAAAGTTACAACAGCATAAATAAAGCCATTAGAACTCACTCATACACCTTAGTGTGACAGAAACCATAAGCATGAAAAAGGATTGGTCTCCCCATTTGACCACACAATGAGGGAGTTTTTCAGACATATTTGACAGGTGTTGTTCTGCTTCCAAAGCCTCCTTCAGAGCATGGTGATATCCAGTTCTCCCTGAGCTACAATGACTACCTGGGCCGTCTCACTGTGGTGGTTCTGAGGGCCAGGGGATTAAAGCTCCAGGAGGAGAGCCCTGCTGTTGGTGAGTGGGATTTCCTCCCTGCTATCAGCTCCACAATTCCTGTTTTAATTTGCTCCTTCCTCATCTGTACACCCAGGCTTGTGCTGTGGGACTCTGACAGGAACAAATAAACATCCTGGTGATTTGAGAGGAAACAAGCCATATTTTGTCCTGAGGCAATTAGATTTTGATAGCTTAGTTTTGATATGTTTGGGGTTTGTTTCATATTAAAAGGTTTGTCCTGTGGCAACTGGTGGAGCAACATCCTTTTGCTGCTCTCCAGGCCAGAGAAGGCAGCATTTCAGGGGATATTGACATGAACAGTTGCCTCAAGTCAAATTCCCAGAGGTAACAGCTGCAGGACAACTGCTTATGCTGAACAGCTGTCCTGGGAGGAGCTTGGGAGAAAAAAAATCCCAGTTTAGGGCAGCCTGGCTATTGTTCAAAGGATCATGGCATGGAGTCACAATTTTCTTCCTTAGTGCAGAGGGCTTCTTCTGGTACATCATACTCATGTATCCCTGGTCTCAGAGATTACCTCAAAATGCTCTTTAAAATTCAACACTCAAAAGCAAAAACAGATGAAGAACCAAACTTGTACCTCAGTCTGTAGTGATTTCTTGCAGGCCTTTGAAGCTAAACAATATAAATGCAAAATACACCTACAATTAAAAAAAAAAAAAGAAGTTAAGTCCTCTATATACACACATCACTATGAAGTTCTTTTTTGACTGAACAAATTAAGCCTTCAAAAAAGTCTCCACAAGATGAAAGAAAGGCATAGAAACATAAGATCAAGGATGCAGGGTAAGAATATGGCTGCTTATTTTAACAGCACTTAAATTGGAAAGTGCACTGCCAAACTGAACCCTCAGTGCTTTGTAGGCTCCCTGCTTTATGTCATGCTGTCATGTGTGTTCCATGAATCTTTCACAATCTGATGTTATAATTGGTATTGACTCCCAAAAGGAAGAAACTCCTTAAGCCATCTCCCAACTGCTTCTTGAAGATGTCTTTTAGTCTTGAATTTCTTTTTCCCCAAGGTGTGTATGTCAAAGTCTCACTAATGAACCATAATAAATTCATCAAAAGTAAAAAGACAGCAGCTCTTCTGGGAACTCCCAATCCTGTGTACAATGAAACCTTCAGTTTCAAGGCAGATCAGACAGAGCTGGATACAGCAAGCCTGAGTCTATCTGTGCTCCAGAGTAACAAAGGAGAAAGTAAGTTATATAAATTATTACAGTCAAGGTGTCAAATCTCTTACATATTTGAGACATATTTAAACCTGAGAGGAAGTAATTATTTTTCAGCAATAATCATAAAACATGTAAGAGTTCTGGAGTATTTCAAAGGCTGTCTCTTTAAAAGAAGAATAACTTATTTGTAGTTTAAGCATATGTCTGTCTTTCAGAGGCTAAATTTCACGGAACACATGAATAAAATCACTGCAGACTAGTCAATGCCAGTACAAGGTGCTGTGCCTTTGTTTCATTCCAGTATACCATTAAAACAAGCTTATGTGAACACTTGCATGTGTAACACAGCCTGAAAAACTGTGTGGCTGTTCACTCTAGGCCAATTTGAAAGAGGAATAGGAATTTTAATTCTCTCAGCAGTGAGAAAGATTAGCAAACATCCCCATTCCCCTGGCAGAAAACCTGATGCTTGAGGCCACCTCTTACTGTTAGAGAATCCATTAATCCATTCTGCTTACAAAAGCAAATCAGAATTCAGTATTTCCACTGCTCACAAGAAAAACATCTCTGCAGTGCAAATATGATCTCAATAATTTTCCCCATTCATAGCTGAAAAATCCAGGCATGAATAAACAATCTGTTTCTTGGCAGTGGCAACACACACATTACAGCTGTCTCAGTAACTGCATTTATTTTTTGTAAAGCCAGAACATCATATGAATCCTACTGAGGTTGCCGATGCCCATAATTAGGGCACACTTCCCCAGTAAACCTGAGGTCAAGGGGTAGGGCAGATACAGATCAGATATTTGTGCCTTGGAGATGTTTAACTGCAGGCAAAAGGACAGGCCTGAATTGACTAAACACCCACTTACTGCCATACCTTTTTTAATGCTGAACCTCAGCAGGCAGAAGCTACAAAACCTGAAGTCCAGAGTTATTTCCTTGAGGAATATTTTGGTGTAAAAATACCTTTTAGAACTGGCATTACTTGGAGAAATACATGTTGATATTCTAACGTAGGCAAGGATTTCAGAGAAGCATCAGAGGTGCTCATCACTAACTGCTTTCTTTTTTCCCAGAAACACTTCTGCTGGGACGAGTAGTAGTTGGGCCTTTCATGTACACACGTGGCAGAGAACTGGAACACTGGAATGAGATGATCAGCAAGCCCAAGGAGCTGGTTAAACGATGGCATGCTCTCTGCCACAGCACATGAACAGCACTGAGGAAAAAAAAACCTTCACATGGAAAAGCTCTTACTACCTTTCTCATCTAAAGGATACAAAAATCTTTGCTAAGATTTTGTACCCAAAGAAGAATAAAATAAAAATAAAAGATTTGGTTCCTGGTAGGCTGGGAGTCCCTCTTTCCTCTCTTCAAAATATATGTTAAATTTATTTAATATGCAGCTGAGCAAACAAAACAGCCAAAAATGACCTCTCAGTATTAATTATTTTAACTGGTTAATTCCACTTCTTGGTCATGAGTTCTGGGCACAATTGATCACACATGTAGACAGAGACCAAAATGACCCAAGAACTGCCAGTGATGACACCAGGCCTGTCTGCCCACTGCTCCACATCACCACAGTGGCTTCACCAAAGGGGAGAGAAGCCCAGTGAGCATGCCAAAACACATAAAGCCCAAAAGACACTGACTAATACATGCAGAACTTGTTCAAAAGAGCAGCATTGTATTTAAGACCTCTTTTGAATAGGAAGGGTGAAGGCACTGCTCACTGGTCGCACACCTGGAAGCAGCTGTTCACACCCCTCAGCACAGTGTATTTCCTGTAGGAACTCAGTTCAATGTTTTCAGCTGACCCCAGCTACAGCACTTTGTGTTAAAAATAAGGGACAAGTAAAGAAAAAAGTGACTGGAGGCTATTCCAGTACTGGAATACTCTGAGACAGTAAGATGAGGACATGTCCTGTCCTTTTATATTTCTCTCTAAACACATCTCTGCTGAAGACAAAGCACTGATTACAAGAGCCTTGGGTTTGACCTAGTATGACCATTCTTACACTGAAAATCCAATTAGCTTAAGGCCCCGGGGCATATGTCTGTTTTAGTAGTAGAGTCCTCTTCATTAAGTAAATTACTGCTCTCTAAAGTAATTCAGAGCAATTATTCCTAATCAAAATAAAATAGAACATTTTTCTCTTTTTGATTGCTCTCTGGGGACCTCAGCTCTGTACCCTTCTCACTGTACAGCCATAAACCAGACACACTGACTACTGCAGCAAAACATTTTGCACAATCATGTTCCATAACCTCTACAGCTGAAATCAAACCAACTTCCTTTCAAACAGGACACAGTATTAATTAATTCAAAATCTTAAAAATATTTGACTTCTCTGGGGAGATGAAACCACTTTCCATTTTGATAATAATGTTATTACCTAAAGGAAATGTTATGAATGAGAAGATACCACAGAGGAATTGCAAGATAACAGACCTCCCTGATCCACCATCTGATATGTTACATGGTATCCTCAGTCTGTCTTGCTAATTACAGCACAGGATACAAAACGAGCCTAAACTCATTACATTAAACTGAATTTGACAAAGTGCTTAACACTCATTTATCTTTGCTAAAGGCGTAATATCAGCAACTCAACACCAAAGAGCTGTATTCAAATTTCAGCCCCACAAAACTACTGCAAACCAATCTCATCAGCAAAGTTAATGCATGTGTTCTGGGAAGAAAAACTACTCAGTTATCACACAGTTTACATATTACTAAAATAAAGTGATTTTACCAAATAAATTTTGTATTTTATTATTACAATCATACCATTAAGGATCTTAAAAGTAAGCAGCTAGTAGTATTTCAGACAGCTGGTTTATGAGCTTGTGCAGAAGATGCATGCAATGCACAGTGTCTGTTAACAAATACCCCTAAGGTGGGAAGTCACCTGGCTGACCTGATGCACAGTATGGTCCTCTTCTTCTTATACATTAAAGTAACAATACTTCCAGCTTGTGTGTTCAGTAATTTCAGCTAAATTGTGAAGAAACAAATCCTAATGCACTTACCAATGTACTTGTACTCATGGTCATCCAAGGGAAGCAAATGAGAAAGGTACTTATTGACTCTACCTGAACAAGAGTTATTTCAAAGCAAGAAACATCATCAAATAAGGAGTTCTAATACAATGTTTTCAACTGCCACATAATGAGCAATTTTTTTACTTACTGCCTTTTATATAACATCCATCTGATCTTGTGCTTGAGACTTACCTTGAGCTGAAGGAGGTGGAATGATTACAAGACAGTTCTGTTTTACAAGAGAAAAGAGCAGCAGCAAAATTGCTGAGGGTAAATGGCAAAAATCCTGCTGTTAAAAGAAGGAGAGCAACCACAACAGCAAAACAAAACCATCAAGCTACAGATAGCTCATGGGATAAAGCAAACAACAATTGTGTAACTAAAATATTACTGAATTCTCTGTCTTCCTCTAATTTGCCAGGTCTCAGGAAAATTCAGTCTCTCACAATAGTAGTGAATTTTTCTGAGGAGAAAAAGGAAAACAGATACTTAAATTGTTGGCGTTTATTCACATAATTATTAAAATAAAAATCCATGTATAAAAATATACTTCATGAAAATCCACCAGTATTACTCCAGCAGTATATCCCATTAGCAGATATTCCATACCAGTCCTTTTGATAGTTTTGCTTTTTTCATAAGTTAAAACCAAAATCCTTTATTATAATTTTATGAGATTTGCTTCCTTCAGCTAAGTAATTTTTCTTCTGCTTCCCATCTGTGTGTCCTTGTAGTCCTTGTTACTCAGTTAGTGCAGAGGTCAAAGTTCAGGATGAAAATTCAGCAGATGGAAATCCTTTTGCAAAGGATAGCTGTTCTCATCTAGCACGAAGTGGCTTCTGATTTCCAACAAATAGGATGCTTCTGTATCTGCCAGCAGTGAATGACACAGATCTGCTACTATTGTGCTGTAGGTTATATCTGAAGAGGGCACTGCAAAACACAAAACAATTCAATTTACACTTGATTTTCACAATAGGACCTAACATTCAAGATCTACCTCAATGAAGCTCCACTGAATTACTGGAAGTGAAGTTCAACATCTGCATAAAAAATTACCTTTTATTTTTAATTACTTTTAAAAAACAATGAGCTGAGCCTATTTCTCATTAAACTGTTAACACCTGTGAATTACATAAAACACCTCAAGTCCAACAGGATGTATCAAGTGAAGCTTGTCTGAAACACAGCTCAGTGTTTCACACCATGAAAACATGCCAGCTCCTTCTAATGGCTCCTAAGACATTCTATTTCGCACATAAGGACTCTATTTAGCTATTGAATATTTAGGTATATAACTACAACTACTTAGTTATATAATAGGTATTCACACCTACTTAGTCATATAATAGGTATTCACACCATTCTCACCATCTCAACAAGAGGTTGTTGCAACCTCTTCTCTGAAATTCTGAGTTTGTCAAACAGCCACTGAAATATTCTTTGATGTTGGTTGCTTAGGGCTTTTTTAAACTGCCAATGATTTAAAATTTTGCTTCCATTGTGAACTTTGCTGCCTGTTTCTATCACAAGTAATTAATGAATCAGTACCTACTAATCTCTTCAGCCAGTCTGCAGGAATATTGAGGAAGATTTTTTCCACCAGCTCAGACACCACATGAACATAAATTTCGTATCCTCCATCTTCTACAGTCATCAAAGCAGGTCTAGGCCAGAAAACAAAGTTTCATGAAAGTCATCTGCTATGGTTTGTTTTTTGTTGAAGCAAAATTTTAGAAAGCACTACAACTTAGTCTTACTCTGCAATGTAATACCAAGAAATAGAAAAATGAGAAAATATCTCTGTACTCATGTGTCTAATCTGTAGAACTGGAATAAGTTTGAGCAATAAATAAGGAAACGGCCTTAAATTGAGACAGGACACCCAGAATAGACATTAGAAGGAACTCTTTTACTGTTAGGATGGTCAAGATTGCCCACGGAGGAGGTGGTGGAAATGCAAAGCAGGGACACAAGCTTAGGTGTATCACTAGGAATTGTACCATCTGTATCAACATCACTCTGTATTATCTGTCTTAATACATCACTTTATAGCCACACAGTACCAAGGTATATCTCTTGTTCTGTAACAAATACCAAATGTTTTCACAAACCACTGAACAAATAAAAATCCCTGTTTGGAAATACTCCCAAGGTGAAACTTTCTTACTAAATTGATCAGCAGAAAATTTCAGTGCAAAAATGCCAGGCTTTTCTCTGAAAAAAATGGCCACATAAATTCTACATCTGCATGTGATCCCGTGCTGAGAATACAAACACTGGAAATCCTTATAATTTTTCTACCATCTTTTATGCAGGAGCAAATTGAGGTCCTTCATGCCCATTGAGATTTTATACTCTTATGAAAGATTGGCAGAACCTTTTCAGTTCAGAAAAAAACCTTTCTGCACTTAATCCTCCCTCACAGGAAAATAAATAGCACAAAGATGCAAGATTATTTTGCTTAGAGGAAAAATACTAAGTCCCTACCTGGTTAGATAAATAAGATATTTAAGTCCTAGTTCTTTAAGTAATAGTATTTAAGTCAATGATTCATTAAGTTCATTATGAAAGAGTTTAGAAAGAATTTGAGAAAAAAGATAGAAAATTTACATATTCTAGAATTCTATCACATCCATGGTTGTCTCAAACATTCTCTAGCTACATGTCTTTCTAGTCACAATGATAATTACATTTCAAAAGCCCAAGATAAATGTGAGAACTGAACAATTAGTTAATAAAGATGTACCTACATCAAATGGATCCACTTAGCTTATTTTCTCTAAGTGTGAATACATGTGTCTCACAGTGCCATCTGGTGATAACTCACTATCTCTGCTCTCTGAGAATGTTTATTGAAAACATTTGTCAATATTATTTCTGCACAGCTGAAACTGACTAATCAGTTTAAAAACATGGTTCTGCATTCACGAGATTTCCGATTTAGGCTGGAACAAGATTCTCAAGGAGTTTTCCTTTGGTCCTCAAGCTTTATTCCATCTTAGCTTTATCTGACACAGTACTGGGTAAACATCATTCCTGCATGATATAGTATTCAAAGAAATTAAAAAGTTAGTTTTAAACGAAGAATATAATGTATAAATAATGACTATATAAACAGCAATTCAAGAACAACAAATTGAAAATTCATTAGAGAGACAGGGATTGCTAACCTCACCTTAAACAAAGAATTTCAGATATGGGGGATATTAAAATGGAGAAAGTTTACCACCCTAATAATACACATTACTTTGGCTCTATTTTGTTTACCTGTAGAATGTTTTTACTTTGCTGTATGGCAAACATCTAACACATTGCTTATAGATCATGTTCTCATCTGCCTGTAGTTCCAAACCACATTTGGCACAACCTGAATACGTAATCATAGGCAGAGAAGCCAAAACACATTCCAGTGAAGTGTCAGCAGAGAAGACGAGTTGCTTGTACTGCCCAGTGGAAATGGTAAACTTCAATTCCAAGATATGGGCTTTCACCTGAACCACTCCTACAAAAACAATTCATATATGAATTAAGCTTAATTTGGAACTGCAAGCAAAATCAATGGCTACAGCTGATTAGAAACTAAAATTGCTATCAAGAACTTTCTCTGTTTTTTCCTCTTTGTTACACACACTCAAATATTAAGAGATAGTTTATTCAGTCAAAAATCCTGGTAGAGGTATTTTATTCAGTGAAAAATCCTGGTGGCTAAATATTATTTTAAAATATATAAAAGTAGTACATTTTCAGGTACTATATCAGTAGATGCCACTATAGAAGCTGCCTGAATAAGAGATCAAAATTGTGTGAAGAATTTCCAAGTGATGTTCTTCCCCCTGTTTCAAAGACACTGAAAAGCATAGCTTTAATAACAACTTAGCTTTTCACTATTTATAGCATTAAACTGGAGTTAAATGCTACAAGAACAGCTTTAATTAATTCCTAGAATTTAACACCAACCATAGCAATCTTCTAGGTTCATCTTGGAGAGTATGACTGTAAAATGTCTTCTTTGTCCTTTCGTAAGAAGTTTTCAATACCAGTCGCTATTCTACATTAGAGAATTTTTGAGAAATGCTGATAAACTTTCAGTAATTAGTCACATCATTACTGGACTGGCTGGTGTGGACAACAAAAGTCAGCATTTCCCTCTGTGTTCCAAATCTGTCTTTGCATGGCATCACACACCACAGTTATCTCTCTGCTGGGCTCACGGGATGAAGACTGCATTCAGTTTGGCCAAGTACAGAGCAGCAGTCTCCACAATAAATTCAGAACCAGACCTGGGCTACCCTAAAAAAAACAACCATCTTACCTCATCAAGACAGCATCTATTTTGCCTACTTATGCATGGCACAACAGACATTACAGAGCTATGGCTAACATTTACCTGAGCATTTTTCTTCCAGGAGTGCCGAGAGCCTTGTCAACTCCATGAGGGATGTTTGACTTTTCCGAAACTTCTCTTTAAATTCAACTGCCCTTTTGTCATCATCAAACAAGCACTCACAGGATGACCATGGAGTTGTGTGCAGTTCCAAGTCACCTGAGACAGAACTACACTGGACCAAAAGGTATTTGAAGTCCCATATGTGGTCTACAGAACAAAAAAGCAAACAGAAGAGTTTACTTTCTACACCATGGTTAATTTACAGAAAGCCAAGGTCACTAACAAGACCGAGAAACAAATCAGAAGTCATTTTCATATAGCTTTGGCAACTTCCTTTTAAGGGTGATGACATGTAAGGTTTTTCCTTTTCCTATAAACTTTGCATGAGTTGTCCCATAACAGAAATTTCATTTCACGTCTACCAAATTCAGCTGTCAAGACAACTCAGCCTTTTGAAAAACAAACCAGCTCTGAAATTCATTGTCAGCACTAAGGCTGGCAATGTCTCAGAGAAAAACATCTTCATGTTATTAATCAACTTCCATTTTTAATATGTCCCTGTTTTTAATCTTCTATCTCCACAATTATCAATTTGACATCAACCTAGTTTAACTTTTCTTAAAAGAACAAGTCTAGGAATTACTAGTAAAAATTGGTAAAATTTGGTTGGAGTCACTGCTGAAACACAGTCTACCTAATTCTTGCAAGAGATGCTTTTAATAAGTTACAGCTGGACTTGATCTCAAGATCATCAGGATACAAAGCCTGACACAAGTAAAGTGGAAAGCAGAATTTTTTTTTTAAAGTAGTAGGAAAAAACCCAGTAATTCATGCTAAACCAGACAATGATAAGGAAGGCTCAGAAAAACTGGTAACACAGTTAACACTCATGGATTTTTACAGTAACATAACCAGGCACTACATAAGTAAGTGCATCTTGTATATAGATTCAAGTTTTTAAATATTTATGCCTTCTCAGTCTTCTGAAGTACATTCAAATTCTGTTGCTGATGGCACTGCTTCTAAACAGAGGAGATATGTTAGAATTAGCACAAAATACATTACCCCTCCAAGGGGACTATTTAAAGGTTGAATGGATAAATGTTACCAGCTGAATACTTAAAAGGCACTAACAGCATCACAAAAATCCTTTTAGACCTAACAATAGGTCTAAAACAAGGACCTTACCTTTTTTCCTCTGAAGCTGGGGGTACCAGGCAGCCCCTGATCCCCACAGAACCATCCTATAGTGTTGATCTCTGTTCTGTTCTACTGTTAGAATAATTTTTTTTTGGCTGCCACCTCTGTAGCTGTACACAGATTCTGAAAAAAATTGAAATTACATTACTTCTACAGTAAAAAGCACATAAGCACACAAACCCCACATGCCCCAGTATTAACAGTGAAATCATGGTGTTATCACATTTTTTGTTACAATTAAAAGCAAAGAAGAATACACCTATAATTTCCTCTGGACAGAAAATAACCTGCTTTCTTCTGCAACAGGAATCTAGTTTGATTGAGTGCATAAAGTATATTAATTAACTTTTATCCATCTAAGTACTCAGTAATTGGACAACTCCCTTTGAAGCAGGAGGTATCCAAGCTTCTTTCAGCTCCCATTCATCCTGACTTGTATTGAGTACAAAGAAGTTGTACTCAATCTCTCAGCAACTGTTGTAATTGGAAGTTCCCATAACTTCTGTGGAATACAGCAGAAGAAACATTTCTCTAGAAGTTTTGACATTGAAGAAAACTATAGGCACAAGGTGTACAAGGCAAACTAAAATTATTAGTAGCAGTACATACAAATCTCTACATAGCTCTTATCCAGGATACTCCATGTTTGTTTCAGTTCCACACTAAACTACAGCATTTTTCACAAATAATTTTTGAACAAGAACACCTGGACAAAATATCTAACTAATATCTAGTTCCAAGATTTACATACTAGAGCAAATTATGAAAATTTCTACCTTCAAAATTCTGCATTTAAAACTAATAAACATGATATTGATGATGTGGGTAGAAATTTGTATCCTACTAGTTCAAGATGATAGTGCAATGTGACCAAATTCTTGTGCAAAGCTTGAAATCAAGCAGTGAGAAACATTTTGCTGTGCCAAATTACTATTTAAGTTCCACCTACTGCAGAAGTTGAAGTTCAGTGCATGAACTTACCTGTTAACACAGAAATATTGATAATTTTCAGGACTGAGTGCACCAAAGTACTTGGCTGGAGCTGATCTAGCTGCACATACTGAACATCATCCAGTCTCTGAACTTGTCTTTGTGGAATGTCTCTGAAGTGTGGAAATTCTGATGATATGTATGCCAATAAGCCATGGAGAACACCATCATCCACAAGAGGATAAACTTATATGGAAAAAAGGCAAAGTCACATACTGCTTTTTATGATAAGAAGTATAAAACTTGTGACTTGGAACATGTTTACACTGAAAAAAATCAGAATGGTTTTAGAATAATTTTAAGGTAAGAAATTCCTGAGATATATAACACTCAATTTTAAATTAAACTGTACTTCAGGGTAGTATCAAGAGGAGGCAGATGAAGTTAAGCTAAGTGCAATACTTTAAAATACACCAAAAAACCCTTGTATCATAGCTTGGTAAGAAGAAAGCTGTTCTTGATCACTGACCTCAGAATCTGTCTTAAGAGCTGGCATCACAACAGTGGACATTACAAAGACAGGAAGAGCAATGGTAATACTTCCAGAGTTTTTTCTCCTCAGTCTCCAACCCTCCATGGCCTGCAATTAATCACTTTCCCTGAATGGATCTACTTACTCTATTTTGCAAAAAAATTAATCCTCATGCAATCTCAGACAGCACAGGGACAGGTCCTGGGATAACTGCTCTTTCCTACATTAAACTAATTTTTTTTTTTAGTTCAGACTGGTAGCCACCAAACTTTCTCACCATCTCCACATGCCTATTGATGTCATGTCCACATCTTGTGCTCAGGTGTTCCTGTCATATTTTTCTGTTGTGTTTTGTACCTCTCAGTTGCACACATTTCTATTCTACCTGATGTGTGAGGCATTGCCAGCAAAACGGAGTAATTGAAATAGCTCTTTTACTGTGATTTTCATGGCAACTTATGCACTACAACCTTACCTTTTTGTGTATTGAGAGCTGAGCAGTTCCCCAGATTCAGTAACTGGCTGGTAAATGTTGACTGAAGCATGACCTCTCCACACCAAGGATTTTCATACATTATTACATCTGCAAGAAAAAAGCAACTTTATCAACTCATGTGTTGACAATTTGAAATGTATCATATTTTTCTTGACTTTATAACCACCTTGCATACAGATGTGTATAGCACAGGGTTTGAAAGAGATCACTTGGAAACACAGTGATTATTTTTTTGAATCTACCAACACCATTTACAATGAGTTAGTAAAATTTTCTCATTAGTTTGATGTAATTCTTAAATTTATTAGCCCCCTAGCTGACACTGCTTAGGTCTGGTTTGTAGTAGCACTTGTACTTTTCAGGAACAACTGTTTTAAAACACTGACACCTTACAGCATAGCCCTGACTCTCCATGGCTGTGTCTGAGGGCAAACTTCCATGGAATAGCCAATGTTCCACTGGCAGGATGACTGAGGACTCAAATGATGTAAGAAAACAACTTACAAATGCTTAGCCATAGTTCCAAATTACTTGTTACATTCTTCTACTTTAAACAGGCATTTTTAAGATCCATATTTTAAAAAGGCAAACAAAAGAACTCTCACCTGTAAGCAGTATGATATCCCCAGGAAACACAGTAAGGGACCAAAATGCAGCACCACGCCACAGCACCACCTTTCTCTCAATTTCTGACTGGTCAATAACAACAATTGTTGCCACAGGAACTTTACATGAAGATTTTGGTTTAGTCTTCTTCTGTATCTCTTTGATATAACAAGGATGTACAACTGTGACCAAAATATTGTATTTTTGATTTTTGCTGCAGCAATTCTTAAGCAGTGATAGTTTCTTTTGGAGTTTCTTGAACTCTGCCATCCTGTCTGGATCCACTCTCACCCCGGAACCAGGTGGAGAAGAACTCAGTTTAGCTCTCTTGGATTTCAGCTGTCTTTTAAATGCTGAGTGAGAGAGATGAGAGGAATCTTCATGCTTGCGGGGTCTTTTAGAAGAGTTCTTGTGAGAACAGTTCCCTTGAGAGCACCGTATTCCAGAGCTCAACGGCTCAATAGGGATTTCATTTACAAGTTGCTCAGCAGGAACATTAAGTTCTTGAAACTTTTCTGCATTTTCCTGAGCACTTTCTTCCTGTTTTATAGCTTTAATTGAAACATTTTCCCCATCATCCTCAGAACTAAAAAGTTCAAGAGAACTTGCATTCTCTTCCTCATATTCATTTCCAGTCACAGCAGTAGTACATGTTCCAACACCAGAATCACATTGGAAATGACCATACTGTCCTTCTTCAGCTTTTTTGCCTGCTTCTGTTTCTGATAGTTTCACAGTACTTTCCTGCATCTCATTCTGTGCAAAAACAGCCACCTGACTCAAAGTCACTACACTACGAAACTCTGTGTCTGCTGACACTGCAAAGTCTGCACAGTCATTTGGTTCTTTTGGTTTGGACTCCTGACTTTTTTGGAAAAACATATCCATACATGGACTTAGATGTTTGTGACACTCACTCCTGTGAGCTGCCTGAAGTCCCACAGACCGTAGATGGATGCTGACCTGCTCAGTGCTGGCAACCATAGCAGAAATGTCAGAGCTGCTAATTTCTGAAGGAGGGGCTTTTCTCTCAGTGAGCTCTGGGCAGCAGGCACCTGATGGTTTCTCTTGTCCAGCCGATTCTGCACAGCCCTGGGGCAGGTGTTCATCTGCAGCCTGATCTACATTTGCAGGTGCAAATCTATCTTTGGATTCTTCACAATCAGAGCAAGTTAAACTCGTGCTCTTTTTAGGCGTGCTGGTACAAGTCAGTGCCACAGGGGCAGGAGATGGCAAATCTTTTCCTTCCTTTGCCATGAACCTGCCCTGCTGAGCTCTGTCCCCACTGGAAGGGACCCCTGTGGGCGTGGAGCTCTCTGCCTGGGGCACAGAGGGGGCAGCAGCACCCCGGAGATTCCCAGGAACAAACCCAGGGTTATCGCACAAAAAGCGCAGCTCCCTCCACTGCTCACCAGCAGGGGCTGAGCTTTGCTCTGACCCCTCCCGTGGCCTCGGAATACTGGGGGCTCCCACAAAAATATGAATTTCAGGTCTTTTTGACATTTTTGACTGCTGTGTAAGTTTGAGTACAAATACAGTGGTTTATGCAAAAAGCACAATAATAAATATTAGCAGATGCAAAGAAAAGGATTTTACTTTTTCTTTACAATTTTAAAAATACCTAAAATTCATGGGAATATTTCACAGTTTAGCTGCTAAAAACACTACTTAACTACTTCAAGCCTATAAAAATAGATGTACAAAATCTATAAAAGGGAAATTATTTTAGAAATATTTAGCATTTCTTTCTGTCAAATTTGCCCAGAAAAATAAATTTACAGCAACATTTAGTTTCCGATACATGGGAAGTTAAAATTAAGTTTAATTATGGACCTATTTGTCTTCATTTACTATTGCTAATTAAACAGTCAAATGTGACTTCACTATTCAGTACTTGATTTTAACTCATCTTAAATAGATGTAAGACATCTTCACAGCATAGTTAGATCATTTCATCTCCCAGAAAATTACAGTTTCAACTAAATGATTAAAACACTAGAGCTATTTAAAAGTAAAGTTTGCTAGGAATGCAATATTTTACATGCTGTTTTGGCATGAAACTACTGTTTCAGGCTATTACTGATAAATAATAATTATTTAATAACCACTAAGAGGTCAGTAAAGCTTGAGCAGGTGATTTAGGATTTGCTTTAATTCATTTACGTAGTATCAAACTACTCAAGGAATTACTAGCTTTTCTAGCTAATTAAAAATAAGCCCACTTACACAGCACACAAAAAGAAGACCTTTTATTTTTAAAAATTTCTGCTGTATAATTATTATTTTAATATATGCAGAAACAGCTATAACTGTTCCTTAAAGTGCTAATTACAGCTACTTGTTTTGGGAGTGCTGTTGCTGATAGAAGTTGCTTCAATAGGCAATTCTGCAGATGTAGAGAACACCAGGAAAAATAGGACAGCTAATCCAGCTGTAAATAGAAGGAAAAGACCATTGAAACAAATGCAGCATTGAAAAATATGCAAGGTTTTCATTCAGCACTAATTAAATTAGCAATTGTTTCCTAACAACCCCACTAGGGGTCAATAAATCTGCACGTTCATAAGGCTCACTGTAACATGGAAAAACCATAAACACCCCAGAATAGTGATCTCTGGTATGTCACTGCTGTCACTAGAAAAGCAACATACATCACTAAAATTAGATAGGGCAAAATACAAACAAGCTACAAAACCCAGAGACTAGTATTGATCACTTTTATGCTCATAACAAAATAAATACCACTTACATCATTGGAGTGTTCAAACTTCTGCAGTTGTACATTTAAATTTAGTCCCAGAAAATGGTAACTTTTAAAGGGCAATACCCAAAGCTGTGAAAGCTTTGAGTTATATAAAGAATGGTAACATACAAATAAACAGAAGAACAGAATTTATTGTCAATATTAAAGTAGTGGATCAGGTAAGGGAAAGACTAAGCAATATGATAGTGAATTTGAATCCCTAAAGAAGTGATGTTAAGTTTCGTAGATAAAAGGCTACCAATACATGATGTAAAAAGCTTAGTAACAGATCTGAGACAAACAATGTTACTATCAGTTCAAATGACCTTAGTAAATGTCCAGTTACATAGTAATTTATCAGCCCCTCAATTTAAGTACCACTTCTCTTTTGCTTGTTGACATGTTTAAAGGTTTATAAATCACACAAATTTCTCAAAGTTTTCCTTAACTTTCCAGTCTAACTTCTCTAAACTTAGGATTTGCTTTGCTGATTCACATTTTGCAGTGCCACTACTTTAAGGCCAGGCTGGATGGGGCCCTGAGCAACTTGGTCTAGTGAAATGTGCCCATGGCATAGGGTTTGGAACTTGATGATTTTTAAGAGTCTTTCCAACCTGAGCTGTTCTATGAGTCTATGATCACACCAAAGGAAATGAATATTGATGTTATTTAATGTATGTTTGAAATGAAAGTATAACTAATATTTTCAAAACATAAATTACCTTAGGAATGGCAAGTGACCTCTGCCAATTTTCTGATTCGTGTAACAGGTCCACTACTAAATGACCTACTTTGCGAATTCCAAGTGACTTTTTGGGTCAAAGATGTCAAACTCCTTCCTGTACTAGGAAACATCAGTACCTAAAATCATTTAAGCCTGTAAATCAGAAAGAAAAAAAAAATTAAGTTTACCTAAATTCTCCGTACACAAAAATGTTTAAAGAACTGTTGCTTTGCTGCTTTAGAACATAATTATTTCTCACTTAATGAGTTTTGTTAGTTAAGTACTACACCTTGTTATAAATAAAAGTCTGAGAGAACAATTCACTTCAGATTTTAAAAGGTGAGCAAAAAAGCTACCAATATTTTAGTAAAACTCTACTGCCACAAAAAAATCCATTTTATACTGTAGTTAAATTATCTGTGGGCAGACAGTAGGTTAACTAACTACACAAAAGATAACAAGAGCTAAAACTCATGAAGACACAACTGAAACCTGAATGCACACATCCATTATACCTGTTAATTATTACACCATTTCCTAATTTGTGGAAAGGTGCTCTACTCCCAGAAGCCAATGAAAGCCACGCTTTTTATCTCTGAAATGGTCAGAGTCTGATTGACGGGTCAATGATCTATTAAAAAACAGTAACTACATCAGCAAGTTTTACATTTGCAAGGCACTGCAACTGAGGTTCAATATACAGAAATATATTATGCTAGATAGTGTATTTCCTCCAATCTAAACAGTAAGACAGGAATTCTAAATTTAAAGGTTTTTAAAACAAACTGTCATTAACAGATTGTTAATCTCTAGTGATTTGCTGCACATGGAATGAAATTTAAAATAGCTTTAAAAATCTTCTTCCCTCTAGAAATGTTCTGATGCTACATACATGACCTTAAAGTATCCCTAAAACACCCTAAAAATACTCATCAATTTTATTCCGTATTTTTCTACTCATTAATAGCATTCACTCACCATAATAATCATTAAGCATTATGCCAAGGTAATTTGGATGGACAAGAGGATGACACAGCTTCAGCTTCCTATAATTCCTGAATATTCACAGTAGTCGCGTGTCCAAATCTCTGTTTTGAGAAGTTACATCCAAATAGTTTCATCAAGTCTTTACTCAAGCCCTGTACACTAAAAGTAAACCATGCTAATTCAATCTTGTTAAGAGTTTCTTTATGTCTGTTACACACTACAAAGTTTCAAACTACAAATAAAATTACAGAAATAAAAGACAGCAATGCATCAGAAGACAAAGAACTATACCAATATAATGCCAAAGTGTACTTTCCCCTCTAGAAACACTAAAGTTTCAGGAGATAGTGTGTTCTTTTAACTTTCTGCTTTGATTTGCTGAAGCTTGATGAACATCCAAAATGCTAAGAGGTTAATGACTTGATCCCTAAAATATGCAAGAAAACATTATATTGTCCTTTACCTGCTGAAAAGCTGGCCCAGTAAGTAATAAATACATAAAGTAGGATATTTCTTAAATTCTTAATTTTAACTTCTATTGTGGACTTCATCCTCCCTTATTCACATACTTGACTTTATCCTCCTCCTACATGTGGTATAAAAAACTAAAGGATTGATTCATCTACCTTACAACAGAAGAAGCTGAATTATTCATAGCCATCTTGAGAGTATTTGGTTTCAGCTCAATTCAAGCTGTAGGGTTGTTTGGCTGGGCTTTTCTCTTTTCTACAACTCAACCCATCTGATTGTGGAGTAGCAAATCTACTAAGACAGCTGCCAACCAAAGGGAAACCAGAAAAACTTCTTGATGCAGAATTCTGATTACATCGCAGGAAACTCTCCTGGCACTTTCACCATGCTGCTCAAATCTCCCTCCAAAATTCAACGTGATCTTTTTAAAAAGCCAGGCACTGGAGCTGTACAGTAACTTTGAAAGAATAAACAGCAAGTAGTGCAGTAACAGTTTCATACACTTAGAAACTGAAACAGCTCTGGGATGAAGTGAGGAATGCATTACAGTTTGCTTGCAACTTGTGCAAGAAAAAGAAGGGTGATCCTTCTGCCAGCAACTCCTGCTGGCACTGCAAGTGAATCAATATACCAGCAACAGCACATATCTACTAAAACAATAACCTTGGTCCAAATTCATATTGAGATGAACAATTGTGTTCGGAAAATAAAAACTGACAGAAGAACTCAAGCTAAGCACCTTGTAGCTGAAGCAAACTTACTCTACATAAAAGTGAGGGATGTATCAGGTGGGTGTAAAAGATGATATGTGTAAGTGAATGGCAGTTCAAAGAGATTTACATGGGTTGCAGTAGGCAAGGCTGGTGGCACCTAACAAGAACTCAAGGGAACACAGATGTGGGAGAACACACACAGAAGAACTCAAGGGAACACAGATGTGGGAGAACACACACACACACACAGAGGCAACTGGGTAAATGAACAGGTCTTATTTCTGTCATCCCCTGTTTGGTGATTGTTACAATCACCAAATACCTTTTATCTGAATTTTAATACAAGGTTTCAGGCAAAGACTGTAGTCCTGTCCATAAATGGCCTAACCAAATGCAATTTTACACCAGGAGGATCATTTGGCTCACATACTAACACTGTGTTAGCACATGGAATACAGTGCACAGGCACTGCTGTCAACCAGACCGGGTGGTATAGCAAGAACCCTGCTAGTTGATATCAAAATTGATGAAAACCACAAACCTTCACTTGCCTACAGCAGTACCTGTAATTAGCATAAAGTCACTTCTAAATGAGGTACTTAGGTAATTACTGACCATAAAATAATTTCTATTAGTACTTCCATTGAAGTTAAATAGCAGCATTCAGTATTTAGTTCTTACTGGCTATTACCAGAGGACTGCAATAACATTTGGGCTCAAAATAGGTACAGCTTGTTTACAAGTACATAAAACTTGTATTCAGCAATACCTAGCCATAAACACGAGGTATCCAATTTTTTTTCCTTATTTGGAGCACTTTCAGTAACAACATGATCTTTAGAATACAGAACACCTATGGTTTAGGTAACACAATAGAAACCTTCCTAAATACTCTTGCAGCAGCATGGAAATAATTTAAACCAGAAATCAGCGTTCTAAACTGTTCCGTAGCCTGACACCGTAAAAAATGTTAAATCAAAATACTGACTAAGAAGAGGCAAGTTGTTCTTCATAACTATTACTGAACTATTCATACACAAAAAGAAGGCAAGCAATCAAATGGCATTGCTATTGCTAATACTTAATGTGCACCTACTTGCCTGCAGGATCAGGGCCTGTGGTTTCTAAAGTTGTGCTCTAGAAGGAAAATATTTCCCTGGATTTGAAATGAAGACATTTCTTCTGTACATAAAAGCTTGGGTCATATAAAAAAGGCATCTACTGAGCAGTTGCATCAGCCATTTTATTTTACCATTATTATTTTTTGAAACCAAATGATGCAAAATTTGAATTCTGATAATACACTTTCAATTCAGCCACTGAGATAGTCTTCATTGTGTTTGAAAATTGGAGTAAAGGTGGTAGGCTTTGGTGATTAACTTGATAATTCTTTCCTCACAGCCTTTGTGCCTTTTGAGATGGCCCCTTAAGTAAATTCTATTTATTGATTTTTGTTTTGCAATACACTAAAACATATAATTAAGGAGATATGAGCATCCAGTGGCTGCTACAAACAAAAGAAGTCAGAAGTTCTAGAGAACACTGATCTTTTGAGTAGAAAAGAAAGATAAAGGTAGAAGGTGAAAGATACACAAATGTGCCATGCACGTTTCGTTGAAGAACACTCACTCCCTAACCCTTTATTTTTGAGAACTATTTAAACAACTAAACTGCTATACCTGCTGTCAAGAAATATGTTGTTCCATATATTTCAGCATATTAAAATACCTCACAATATCAGAATGACATCATTATGGCTTTTTTTTAGAAAAACTATTTAGTTTGCAGAAAATATTCCACAAGTATCATTACCAATGAAAATCTATGTTGGGACTGAAACCTGATAAACAGAGCTGGATAAAGCAATAGAGGACCTAAGATGAAAGCAAGGTAAATGGTGAAAGAAACATCACAACAGCCTGATTTCCATCAGATCAACTGCTGGTAGATTTGACTTATCAGGACCAGAAGATATAGATATAGATATAGATATATATATATATATATATATATATAAGAAATACTTAAAACACAAAGCCACCAATATTATTTTCCCATCTTTACAAAAGCCTTACTCAAAAAAGATGAAGTTTCAAAATGAAAACCTGGATGCTGACTGCATGTTCATAGTCAAAAATGGGATATTGTCACTGTTTTGTACAACAGCCATAGGTAAGACTGTCCTTTTGCTTTTCTACTGTGGGAGACAGGGCGTTGAAAAGGTGTAATTCTGAATTTTACCATAAAGTAATAAAGTAAAGTAATCTACTTTATTTTATTTCCACATACGTAATCTACTAGTGCCATGAAAATGTCTTTCACTCCCCACAAGTGGTTAAGCTAGCAATAGACCTTAACAGAAGCTGCACTTCCTCTTGCCTTTAAGACAAGTGGGATACTTCTCATTTGTCAGCATCACGAAACAATTAAAGGTCACTGTCTGTCAACTGAAAAATCAGCCACCCACGCCAAGAAGTCATATTGGAGAACACAAGTCATCACTACAGCAAGTAATTTTCCAAGGCTGTTCAAAACGACAAGCTGCACAAGGAGCTCCAGAAGAAGCCATGTGGCACATAAGCCCATGAGACACCTTCAGACCAATAGCTCAACTATGAATTCATCTACTTCATCACTGTATATACAGGGTCCCTCCAGAAGAGCAAACATTTAACCTTGCTGCAAACATAAATAGCAGCAAGTACTTTTTGTCAGGACTGAACCTATGGCACCAGAGCTATCTAATTCCCTCCCCATGCCAAGCAAAATTGTGCATATTTTATCTGTTCTTCTAGTGTGCAGCTACATCCTTCATGTGGCATCATCAGTGTATTTCTGTGAGGTTCAAAGGATCTAGCAATCCAGTCCAATCAATAGCTGATCTCCTCAGTGCTTCCATATCTCAGGAAGATGAAAGCTAGCTTTACACATTTCTACAGATCCAGTGTCTCAAAAGAAAAGTTCAAACACATGCTTTATTTGCAAGCATTGTAATTTAAACAAAACTCTTGAGAGATGTTAACTACATGTTAGCGTGACAGTAATGACTTTTATATCCAAATCTAGAATTTCAGTTCTTGTAAGGGCAAAGGATTTTCAATATTATGTTAATATTTCCCTTTTGCATGCACCCCAAGAATACACTTCAGCTGTAAATGAAAAGGATTTGCTCTTCTATCTATAAGTTGAGAGCGTTAGGATTTTTTAAGAGATAAAGCTCCCTTAAGGAAACATAACCTTCAGACTTGAGCCAAACTGTCTCTGTACACTGGAGAAGAGCATTACAAAGATCACTGACGGTTCACTGCCCACACTTGCTCCTTGTTGTGGCCACAGAAGGAACACACCTACCTACTTCTTTGCGGAACTGCATGAACGTCAAACACTCTTTTCTGGCCATTCCAGTAAGTAGTAAAGTTGTAAATTTACCAGGGCACTGCAGGAAAACAACACAAAAAATTCAAATTATTTTAAGTGAGTGACAACTACAGTGAATCTTCTGGAAACAGAAACAAAGTTTTCAAGTCTTCTGGCATTTACCTATGAAAAAATTAAGATATGATAAATAAAGAAAATTAGCATTGGCTTTTTAATATATAAGCCTTTACATTTCAATGGTTTAGATGGCTGTTAGTTTAGCAAACTGGTTAAGCTTTAACAGGGAACAGGTGACACTGAGTAACTATCAACATAGCTGACTGAGCCAAAGGTGCCTTTTAGATGCAAATTTCCTTATTTCAAAGGCGTAGCTTTTCTCTCAGACTTTAGGACAGCAATGCACTTTGACTATTGATTAAAAGTAATTTGACTGATTATACTTCAAGAAATTGTACATCACAATTTTCTATTCTACTGCCCCGAAAAGTTAACGGAAATCATTACAATTGAAGAAAATGTGAATGAAGTGTACTAATTAATGCCAGAAACGCTGATTTGGCCTGTACCCTTTTCCATAGTAATTCAGTTGTCTGAAAACACCTCAAGAAAAATCAAAAAAGTCAAGGTATGATGTAACAAGTCATCCTGGATCTCCCTCTACTGTTCCAAATCATAGTGTGTAGCAGCAGGGCACAGCAGCATAGCCACAGGTAAAAACCTTCTTGTACCTTTGTTCTCAAAGCACATAATTTTCTTCATTGTTTTTGTTCAAGGCAATACTTCAATTATTATCTGTACTGTGCCATTATTGCTGAGTACCTTCACTCAGCTGCCTTTGATTCAGTAACTTTTAGAAATGTTTTTATTACTTGCAGTACTGCATAGTTGTGCCCCTGAAATTTTAAGTTGTTTAACTTGCAAAGCTCCTGAAGTATGAAGAGTTAAGGATGGAAACTAAAGGGATTTATCTATTTATTCATTTGTCTTCATACAGAAGTTGCTCCAATCTGAAGTAAAACTATAAATTGCTTCTTTCTGCAATATAATGCAAAGAGAGTAGAGATTATAAAGAAATGGTCACCTCATAGTTTAACTCCTTCTGTATTAGAACTGCAATCCTGTTTGCAAATGCAATTATTTTTCTGTCTGCCTGCTGTTGCAAGTTCTATACTTGATTTTCACTAGAATAGAAACAATAGGACTGATGTACACAAGGCCCATATTGGCTATTAGTATATTAGCATATTCTTTATCTAGAAAACCATGTGAGCTGCTATACAAAGCTAAAATCACAATAGTCTTCAAAACATTTTCTGAAAAACACTAGCAGAAAGTTTTCACATAGAACAGAAACGACAGTGCCAATGTTAGAAATCTATCTCTTCAACAGGAGTTCTGTTTAATGCCCCAACACACATATGGTCCTAAGGTAGCTCTGAAGAGTGTTTTGTAACCCACCCTTACTCCATGTCAAGTGACATCATTTACAGACAGACAGCTACTGCTCCGTGTAACTCGTGGTGCTTTAATGCCACACACATGCACCTGAATTTTACATTCTGTAAAAACATGAAAGGGGAAAATTAGAGGTGAAGAAACACAAGCAATTTGCAATCCATTCCATATCAAAGTACTCTTTGGTATCAGCTAATGACTTGAGTAACTCCAGGTTTAACTTGCTTGTGTTAGGAAGCACGTGGAATATAAAGAATAGCTTTGGTAGTATTGAGCATATGACAGGAAATTAGCAAATACATATTGGTTTTCCTTCCAATAAATTTCACATTAAAACCTGTTTATATGAGCTTACTTTAAAAGATTTTAAAATTAGCAGATAAAGCAAAAAATCCAAAAAGCTATTACACTAAACACGTGATCCATTATCTTTCTCTAGAGATTAGTAATCTTTACAACAGACCAGAGATACAGGAATTCAAAAAGCAATACAGTTTGTTCTATCTTGGCTCATGTTCTGAATTATCTGGCATTGCATTCCAAGAACTACAATTATGTTAACATTACATTTTATATTAAAACTTTATCTTGTAGGTCAAACTAGCATATCATCTAAATGAGTGCCAACTTAGGAGCCATGTGCTCATAAAAAACATTAAGAGAGGTATGGCAACAGTTCACGTTAACCACTATGAAACACTGGAGCAGAAGAAAAATTTGAGATAAATAAAAGACATAAAACTAAACCACTAAGACATCATATTTGTCAGCACAATCTATAAAGCAGCAAATGGAGATTTAGTTTATATAATGGAAATCAGACTAAAAACTAATTGAAGGTATCTTTTAAAAAATAAAGATAGCATTCATTCAGTAAATACAAGGTATTCAGACACAAGTGAGAATCAAAATATTAACATACTTCTCTCAACAGCAACTTTATGACATTACAATATATAAACAATATGTTATGAACTTCAGCTGCCAACAGAAAAACCATGCAGAAAACTGAACAGTCTGATCACAGTGAGAAAAAAATTAGTAAGTGATGGGTACAGATGCAAAGTTTGACAAAAATGAGCAAGTGCAAGAACATGATTTGATGAAGCTAAAAAGAAAACCATCCAAAATAATGTCCATTAAAATGCATTCAAAAATTGCCTCATTAAAAAGGCAAATATAGAAGAGGGAAGAGGTAACATTATAAGAATTAAGAACTGTGCAATCATAGTGTGTAGTTTTTAAGTCCTTCATACATTATGATGTTACTTGCCATTTCTTTCTCTATATGGCAAACAAGTAAGTTTTACTATACCAGCTCTGATGGAAGTTAAGATTCCAATCCCAAATGGGAAGCAGCTGTCAAGTCCCTTTACCTATGCTAATCCCTTTAACTGGGCAAACACAGTGTTTAAAAAACAAGCACTTCCATTTTATTTCCAGGCAAGTTTAAAGGATAAAGTTCTGATCCTGGAAGCTGTTCTGTGCAGTTCCCTTCTCCAGGCAGCTCTGAAGTGACAAACTGTTTAGTGGGCATCTCAGCTTTCCTTGAAGCATGCAAACATGGAGAAGGAAGCTGTCCATCAGCAGCATTCTCCACAGCTTAGCATTTGAAAGCCACTTACGCTGTACTTCTGGGTCCTCTCCAAAGAGAGCCCAACTTCCTAAGACTGAGAATATCAAAAAAATGAAAGCCCCTTAAAAAATGTCTTGACTCACATTTACCTTTCAACAATGAAAATTTCATTCTTGCAGCCAACATCAGTATTTTAGAAAGATGTGGGGAAACTTTACCCAAATAGGCCAAACTCTATTCTTTCAAATTCTCAATAGATTGCCTTATATAAATCAAAATACAGTTTAGAGGGGACTGAAGCTGTTCCAATGTAGAAGCTATCTAGGCTTTTCCACATTACATTGGCTTTCCAGTCTAGTTCCAGGCTCCATGACAGAAATTTGCCACCACGCTTCACATTAATAAGAGTACTCATGATACTTCAAGAGTAGTTTTAGCCCATTATTGTAAAAATTAAATAGTGACTTCTCAGCACAGGAACTAGATGTCAAGAGCAGAACTAGTGGCAGAAAGCTTGCCACTGATCTCTAGGATTAGTACTGCTTTGCAAGCATTGATGCAATGAGGGGTTTGAGCTTATTCCAAGAATGAAAGTCTCACACCTGGGAAGCCAGAGCTCTGCCTCCTGGGGCTCCTTTGCTGGACACAGGAAGGCCAGGGAACAGCCCAACTGCAAAATCTTTATTCCCAACAGGTCCTTTAGAATTAGCAATCCATGCAGTTACAGAGCTAATAAAGTCACCTTCCTCCACCTTATCTCAATTTTATGCTCTTTTACAATCTAGGGTGGGAAAACAGAAAACAAAACCAACTCTAAGTTCAAGAAACTACACTGCTTTAAACAAGCTGAACTGACATTCTCAGCAAAAAAAGCACAATCATATCTACACTGGCACATTCCCAAAGAACTCACGCCAATCCCAGTATTTATTTTCTTTGCTTGCTGAATAATTCCACCTTACTTAGCATTTCAGAAATTTTTCTAACCATAGGTCAAATTATATTACCTACTCCTCACCTGCCATCATGCAACTTGCCAGATGAAGATTTGCTGACAGACTGACTTCACTTCAGACATATTAATCATACAGTATGAAAACAATTGAAATTAAATCTGCTGGCAAAACACAAATGTAACATATTTGACAACCATTACTTTTATCCAAACTGACCCATTAAAGCAGCTTATGGATGAAGCCATGGATAGTACTTGTTATTTCCAAGAGCACTTCTGCTCATTCCTCTATTACTTGTTTCTCTGGATTCTTTTAATTCAACAGAACCTGCAAAAGCTTACATAATTTCTATTTTTCATCATCTTCAACATAAAATTAATGAGCTGCAGTTCCATTAGACCTCACTATTTCTGTTCCTAGGAATGAGTAAATTGAATATGCTCCGAAAATTATAAAGATTCAAGACAAGAAGTATTTTACTTATCACTTTGGAAAATATCAAAGACTTTCCTATATTTCTTGAAGAAATCAAGTCTGATAGGAGAGAAACTGTATGAGTTTATTAGAAAAGCAAATTCCAGGAGCTTCTCCTTAAGAATTCATACCCCATACTCCATAACTTCTGGCCCATATTAATTCAGATACGAGTACCTTACAAGTTTGTACAACCAGCTCAGTTCCAAGCAATACTTAAGGTTAATATGTCCTCCCCATATATTTAAGACTTTGGGAATAGATTATCATCTTTTTTGCCTTTTTTTTTTTTTTATGGGAACTGAGGCAATGAAAGGTTTAAGTAACTTACTTTTGCTTGCACAGTACATTGAACCACATGTAGAACTCAGTGAGTGAGTCTTACATACTCCTACCTTAAACATGGCACTGCCATTCCCCAGTGCATAATCCCTCACCTTCTGGATAAGATACAAAACTACCCTTTCCAGCTCAGCTTTTCACCCTACCTCTTGAGATTTTAACAGTCATCATCCCTGGTTATACCATTTCTATATCTACAAATCTCTCTTCCTGCAATATGAGATTTATTGTCCTCCTCTGCTTTTATTCCTTACTTGAGGTCTCAGGTGCTGGTTTACAAGCACAAAATAATCAAATGATTCAAAGTCAGGATTAACACAAGGCATCTGATGTAACTTTTTTTTCTTTGTTAAGTTCCTGAACCTCATACACTATTTGAATGAAGTGCTCTCTTACCTTATATTGCAAAAGTCACCCACACAATCACACCTTAGTTTTCAAAATGTTAAGAATTACTTTAAGTCCTGAGGCAGTGCCCTATATTGTATTGTGACTTTAGGACTCTGGGAGAAAAAAGACAAGTGTTTCGCCACATAACAGGCTTTTTTTTTTCTTTAAGTTAACAGCCCCATTAACTTCTTTAACTTACATAACCTTCACTGAATTAGCCATCTAATAAACAAGAATAAATTGTACCTAAAACTGAGTAAGATTAATGGACTTGCACTACAAGCGTGAGTTCAGTGTAGGTGAGGGGTAAAGTATTTACAGAGAAGAGAAGAGAACAGTGAAGGAGAGTGGCTTCTAACTCCATCCTTCACCTATTCATTTTTACTTTGAGGTTTTTGGTCACACAAGGAAGAAGCTTAATTTCTGCTTAGGCAGCCCAGTGTTACATCGATGTAAATGCCACCATGATAATGCAGCCTTAAAACCTGAGGAGAACATCTTAGCATCCTTTGTTCAAGCAAGCTGACCTCTAATGATAACTGAACAATCTAAAAGCATGCATGATTTAGATTGCCATTTAGTGTTTCTTCACTAAAGAAAAACAGCAGGCTTATGTGAAAACTGGTAAGACAAAAGAAACCAGGATAAGCTTTTACAACTTCCATGGTGATTTTAACTCATTTAGTCAGAAAACAACAATATAGTAGTCCTTCTGAAAGCAGAAAATCTGTTATGCAGAGACCCTACCTTTCCAGTAATTCAAAATAAGCTTCATTTCAACCTACTGCCTTTCAAAGGAAAAAGTAGAAGAGATGAAATAGAACAGGTAAGTTAGACATTATCTTGCCAACACTGACAAGATTAAACAATAAATAATAATCACGAAAAACTTGACACAGTGTTTTCAAAAATTGTTCAAGTGTGCTCAAGAAGGAACAATTTAATTAAAACAGAAATATTTCCTTTTCTGACCTACTTTCTCATTCTGAGATTCCTCTGGGATGAGCCATCCACCAGTGATTTTGTGCTGGATCTCTACATGCAGTGGACACCACAAACAATCCTGAGGTCTGTGAAAGAAGACCAGGAAAAGATATCACTATACACTTTTACATCTTTTCCCCCCAAGAAATCCATGATGTGTTGAACAATACCAGCCAATGTACTCCTGGAATATTCTGATAACACCAATTTCAATTATACCAACAAACTTGAATGGTAATTCTTAATACTTTGTATCTGGGCTTCACCCACCAACATATTTCACAGAAGATTTAAGCATCCAAGCATATTTTAACAATCTTGATTTCCATAACCACTCTTCCAAAGTGAAAGAGGCTAAAGTTGATTTTGCTAATAGAAATGCAAACAAAAGCACTGCAGGAAACTAGCATTCTCTAGAAAGTTCATAAGAGCTTTAATGTTTGTTATTTAAACAATACACACTACATTTATGTCAACAACTTCTGACTGTCAATTGAGTATTAAACCAAGAAAAAACTGGTTTGCAGCCTCTGATGCTTTGATTCCAGGCTGGAAAGATTTGGGGTATAATTTTCAGCCAGACAGCCAAGGACACCAAGAGCTGCAAAAAAGATCCATTTCAATTGTAGATGTTACTTTCAAACAATTCTTATTTCACTCCTGGCAAACCACTGTCTACTATCTGTTATTCGCTATGTTAACTGAAGTAGACAGAAATTTTCTAAAAAACAATTTCCAGGAAATAAACTGTACTAATACTAATAACTGTACTAACAAATAAAACTATCTGTTATTCGCTATGTTAACTGAAGTAGACAGAAATTTTCTAAAAAACAATTTCCAGGAAATAAACTGACTAAAGTACTTTATTTTCCCCCTAACCTTATTTAAGAGAACAAAGCTGGCATGTTCTGAGTCCATCTGTGGAAGATTTATCAGCTTTCCCATTACCAGCTTTTTCATCACCTAATTTCAAACACACTTAACAGCAAATGAAAATCACAAATATTTCAGGATTGGGTAACTACATCATGCCCTCTTTTGTCTTTTAAATCAGAAATGAGGAAATACCAATCAAAAGCTAAAGATTATGCCACAATGGCACAAACCAGCTGCTTACACAGAATCTCACTGATACAGGAATTGAGAAAGGAGAAGCCTTCACAGTGACCCACAAAAGCCTCTATCATTAATGGCCACGTTGATGGGAAGGTCACTGAAATCAGATTAACTTGTTACTGATTTCAGCAAGCTTTGGATCAGACCTGCTGCCTCCAGAGAGAACTACTTTTTGTCCTAGCCATCTGAAAATCAGAAGTGGTGTTACAGGGATAAGAGTCACTAAAAAGCATATTTAATCTTTATCACCTAGATTATCTGGCAACACTCATTATCAATGTATTGACAGTAACAGTGCCAAAACATGGCACTGAGAATTTGTGTATCTATAGACTGCCTGACCAAGAGATGAGGGCATCAGCTCCTATATACATGAAGAGCTTTTTTTATCTGCTCTGTCACAGAGCTGAAGTAACCAGTTGGCAACATCAGTCATCATGCACAGCAACTATATAAACAGATGGAGACAGAAGATCTTTAAAGCTAACAAACATCAGCACAGCCACTTTTCATGGCAATTAAAAATATTTACTCATGAAGTAGTTATCATAATTTAGTCAATGTTTTGATTTCTGCAGCAGAATTATTAGCAAGTTAAAAGCTCAGAAAACTGCTCTGAACCACTTACTGAGGTAAGTTTTCCCCAGTACCTTCAACTTACAAATTAAGAATCCATGACAAATTCACATCATAAATAAAGGGCTAATAGCTCTATTAGCAGAACTTCTGGAAATGTAAAGAAAAACAAAATCTTATGCTTAATTAAATAATAAATTTAAATATTACTTTGCTACATATTATTTTTGTAGCAATGCTTCAAGCAAAAAAACAAGACACACTCTAGCCTACTCCCTACTAGGCTAAACCTAGAACTTCCTAATTTACTTGCACAACTTTGAGTTTCACTCCCTACTTCTACAGTGCTATAGCCAAGCAAAACCATTACTATTTACAGATGAATTAAAAACCAGCAGCTTATTACTTTAACTTAGCAGTCAGGAAAAACTTCAACTTAATGCAAAGTAATACATAAAAATACTAAATAATCAGACCACCAGTATCTAAGTATCTCATTAATAAGACAAAGTATTGAAAGGTTTAAAGCCTTTATCTCAAATGGAAATAATCTGAATACCTCTTCTCCAATTTTGCAACATTGCAGCAAGCACATCTCAAATTTGCAACATGTGCAAATTAACTTCTGCATCCTGCCTGGAAAATCACCAAATTCGGGTTCTTTTTGTCAAGGCAAAAGGAGTAAATGAAGAAAACCTGTAAGTCTGCTCTCCAGAGCTGCTATGGCTCAACACAGCTGAAGCTGTTTATAGAGGAAAGGCTCTAAACCAATAGATCTCAGTACTGGCATCTTATGCCATCAGTAAAAATGGCTTTTAATAAGCTTTGGTCTCTGACTGGTTGTAAACAGATGACTGAAATGAAGATTTCTAGTCAAGTGTTCATTTGGTAAAAGTGGTCATATAGACGGTCCCAAATTAATGGAATCTTCTGGGATTCACCTACTTCATGTGCTGCCTGTGGCAGCATCTTACTGGGACAGCCCTCCAGCAACAGCAAAGCCTTGACAAAACTGCTCCACACGTCCCAGTTTGTTCCTGTCACATCACGTACTGGCTAGGCAAAAAAAAGGGAAGAATATAATCAAGAAATATGGTACTCAGAGTAGAACAATTTATTCACAAACTTGGAATTAAAATTAGTATCAGATTACATTAATTATTCCTTAGATCCTTTAATCTGTAGCATATTTGTTTCATTTAAAAATACATCTTTGAAAGAACAAATGCTGTACCAACATTACCTCCCATTACTCTGACTGAATGCTGGTACATTCTCCTGCAGATAGAGAAATTGCCATCTCTACTTTGACATCCTATGCCAAAACAAATTGGACATGAAGTTTGTACTTTAAAGCATTGGTGGAAAATAAAACCCATGAACTTCAGATGTTCTCAAGTCAAAGATCTGGAAAATAATTAGATTTCTATTTGGTACTATTTTAGTACATTTTGCCCCAGTATGCAGGCAGGTCCCATGCAGAAGGATTTCTATGAAGTCCTACACACTTGATGCTCATCGGCATCGTCTCCATTTAACACAAACAGAGAGGATTTTAGCCAAGAGGTGTGAGAACAGCACTACACTTCCCATTCCTGTCAGATTCACATCCTCCCATTCACCCAGCAACTATTATGCAACTGTCCAGAGATCTGTTGACTCGACAGAGGCTGAACAGTTTCTGCAGCAGTTTGGGGTAAGAAAATAACCCCAGCTCTCACCTATTTAGCTACACTTCCAAGGTAGCTACATAAAGCAGTACAGCATAACATTTAAGCCCAAGAAAAAAAGCTTCTGGTTTTTTTTTTCAATTTCTGGTGCAATGAGGAATGGAAACATAAATGCTCATATAGGCAATTCAAAGGCAAACAACTTGCTTCAATTTTTACTTGGAATTTATCTCCATTAATTCTTTAAGCAAAGGGACTTGGCTTTATCTGTCAAGTGCTTAATGTGGTATGGCTCACAACTTAAAATCAAATTTTCTGAAACAACTGTAATTCCATCTGCAGTTTATTTCAAAAGCAATTTGTCTTCCCAGAACACAATTTACCTCAGAAAGGAATTGGTCCTCTGTACAGATCAACTTTCTTCCTGAGTGTGTTGTCCAACAGAGGCTCAAACTCTGCACTGGAGGCAAGCCCAGGGTTACCCTGGATTTCCAGGGCTCAGGCAGCCAAGGGCACAGCTATCCAGAGCCCTGGGAGGATCCCTGACTTGCAGCTTCTCTGCTCCTTCTCATCTGCTCTGGTCAGCTGGTAATAAGACTGGGAAGTGAGCTGGGAATAGCTATTCCAGTTCCTGAGGGAATTCAGCACCAGTACACCCTGGGAATGTTTTAGCCCAAATAGCTAGTACTTCAAATAATAAATGGATTAAAGCAGGAAGTATTTGATTCTTGTCTTAGATCCCTTTTCTCAATAAAACTTTTAAATCCGACACAGAAAATTATTCCACCTGCTACAAAATTTCTAATAAATTTTAAGGTAGCAAAATTGCTACCTTAAAACAGTAGATTGCTTTAGGAAGGCACAATACAGTGCTCATTACAGTGCTTATCTATAATAAAAATAAGCTGTTAAAATTTATACACATTTAAAAAGCAGCCTACAAGAAATTAAATCAAGTTGTTTGCCTCCCTGAGTTATACTTCACAGATTTTAAATGGAAACTGATACCTGTCATGTACACACAGTTGAAAACGACCTTGCTGCAAAGTCCATTAATAATACAGACAGTTCCTACCACACAGGTAGGAACTCTACTCATCTCTCTCTTCAGATGTAGTCCTAAGACCAAAACTTCATATAAAATTAATGAAGTTAGTGAAGCTCCTGACTGTGAAGACAAAAAGTTATCTTTTAATCCACCCTAGCGATTTTGTTTTCACCAGTGCTACTCAAACGTGAATTTTCTGATGGCACCCCACATGGCATATGAGAGCAAAGAAGATACAGCTCCTCTTTTAGTATTGCAACTACCACTTTCATGCCTGCTAGAACTCATTCTGAAGCATGCCATTTCTAATTTCCTCTGGCAAACGGATTTTGATTCAACTGCTCAGTGCTTAGCACATAAGAATTGTGGAATGAAAATTCTCCTGCCTCCAGAAAGGACTTGAATCAAACAGAAATTCAGTACAAACCTGCTGAGTTTGGTAAACTGCACACATTATTTCAGTCATAAAAATATGCCAAATAAAACTCCTTAGTTATCTTATCTCCTACAATGTTTAAATACTAAGAAATTTAACATGCTGATTTAGTTATTCTCAGCATTCAACACACAGCTTGTAAAACATTTTTCCGAATTCCAGTCTTGTTTAGAAAGGAGGGTAGGTATGGTACAGCCATTGCTCCAAATACAACTGTGTGACTGAGCCTCTGGAGAGATCCACGTGGTTCCCACGTTGCCATGTCCCATGCTCAGCCTCAAATACATCCACAAACGTGTGCTACAAACAGGCTGATACCGCAAGCAGCTGATAATTGAGTGTGCTCGGAAATCAGAGAACACAGCTGAAAGCAGGACAGGAGCTAAGCACATTAACCTTAACATCTAATTCTACATGCTTGAGCAAACTGGCTAATCACATTCTTCATTTAACCTCTGTGTTTCTGCAATGATATTCCAACCTACAGAACACGGTGGAAATAATTACCTGATAAGGACTAATTGCCACAATACCTCTCATCACCTTCTTTCCTAGGCATTTACAAAATTTAAGCACTTGTAAAGCAAGTGAGCTCTAGCTAATGAGAACATGCAGATGGCTGAAATCAAGTAGTAGCTCAAAGCTGATACAATCACTGAGAACACTGCAGTTCTGTGAACTGAAAATTAACACTAAAATAGAAGTTTTCCATAAACCACCTATACTATGGACTGAAAACCAAATTAGTAAGCTTATTTCTGAAGCCCTGTGTGAACATCCAAACAACAAACTGGCCTAAGAACCAGCTCCTTTCTTGATTTTTCCCCCTATATCAACTATCAAGCATCTTTCTTCTCTAGACTACAATTATGAACCATCTTCATCACTGATAAAAACCAGCCTGATTAGTGGTCCTTAAGAGAACTTCTTCAAATTCTCAGGACAGAGAGCAACATTAAATCAAGATAAAAATAGAGCATCAATTGCCTGAAGAGTTTATTTGAGTTAAAGAATCTGTGACTAATCTCCCTGCTGACAAATACACACACAAGTTAAATTGCTTTCCCACAAGCCTTGTAGCACAACCCATAGTGGTTAGAGAGATTCCCACAGCGATAAAACAACTTCCTGGTTATTCCTGGCTTAGGGGCATTGGTCTCCCACAAGCCTAAGAAGAAAAAATACCCACCGTATTTTCCAATTAGCACCCCAAACCGACAGAAAATTAACAAGCCACTTAAGTATTCTAAAATAAAGTTAGTTCAATAGTACAGGACACTATCTCTCATACTCTGAAAGCAGACCTTACACAGTTTCAAGAAATGTTCTTAAGAGATGGTGCCTGAGGTACATTTTAAAAATGGCCTTGAATGGACCAGGACCTAGCAAGATGCAAAACAGTGGAGCAGACAGAGTAGACAAATCTCAAGGTCTGTTCCAACCTCCGTGATCTAACGGTTCTGTGAACGCAGCCACGTTAACACCTTCACTCGAGGCCTCTGTCCCCTCTCGGCAGGGCAGTCCCTATACACACGTGGCTTGGAAAGCTGGGTTCTCCCAAGGCTCCTTTCCCCGGGAGCGCAGCCCACGGTGTGTGAGCACGCCCTCGCTTGCGCTGTACTTGCGCCAAGAGAGGCCTGCTTTTTCACGCGGCACGTGAAGGCCGCTTGCCGCGGGCTGTCCGCGGCCCGCAGCGCAGCCGGCCGCCGCAGGGCCCGGCGGGGCGGGCCCTTGGCAGCGGCCGCGGGCGCGCCGCCCCCCCTGCAGCCCGCGTTTAAAGGCGGCGGCGGCGGCGCCCGGCCCCCGGCCCCTCCTGTGACAGCGGCAGCACCGCTCCGATCCTCGCTTCTGGCGGCCGCCGCCATGTACCGCTACTTGGGGGAGCTGCTGGCGTCCCGCCTGGCCGCCGGCTCGGTGCTGGCGGGCTCGGAGCCGGGCGGGCCGGCGGCGGCAGCGGCCGGGGGGGCAGTGGTGGCGGCGGCATGGGGCGGCGGCCGGTGTCCGCGGCGGCACTACTGCGAGGCGGCGAAGAAAGAGGACGACCCCAACTTCTTCAAGATGGTGGAGGGGTTCTTCGATCGCGGCGCCAGCATCGTGGAGGACAAGCTGGTGGAGGGGCTGCGCACCCGCGAGGGCATGGAGGAGCGGCGCCACCGCGTCCGCGGCATCCTCCGCATCATCAAGCCCTGCAACCATGTGCTCAGCGTTTCCTTCCCCATCAAGCGCGACAATGGCGAGTGGGAGGTGATCGAGGGCTACCGGGCGCAGCACAGCCAGCACCGCACGCCCTGCAAGGGAGGTGAGCCCCGCCGCCTCGCCGGGCCCGCGGAGGGCCGGGCCGCCCCGCCCCCCCCGGCCCCCCACCACCCCCCCCCCCCACCAGCCCCCCCTGTCCCGCCGCGCCTGCTGCCCGCCCGGCCAGCGGGCAGGCGGCTGCCTCGCTGTGCCACCCGTGGTATCCGATAGCCGAGGGAAGGCACGCGCAGGGCTGTTCCTCCAGCGCTCCGCTGTCCCGGCCCCGCCGGTGACCCCCGGGCCAGCCCCGGGGCCGGGTGTCACGGCCACCGGCCGGGCCTTCGCCGCACCCACCGCCGGTCTGGCCCTAGGCATGGCGAGGAGATCCCCGCCTGATTTTAACTCGATGTGACTCAGACCTCGATAGTGTTTGTGGGGAAAGGGGGGAGCACCCTGCTAGAAGTGTCTGCGCGAGTCGAGAGCTGAGGGAACCACTGTCCCTTTACACCCAGCTGTGTTCGCGAAAAGCTAGTGCTCACACAGAAAACATCCGTAGAGAAAAATAACAAGTTTTAATAACAAGTTAACTGTGGTTCCAGTTACCGGCTGGATACATAGTTAGACAAAAGTGATTTTTCTGGAAGTGGCTAGCTCTAGATAGGTGAGACCAACGACCTGCTCAGGGACCGAGGGGGTGAATCCCACCGGAGCTGAGCAGAGCTGGGCTCTCATGGGATCAGACTCCCTTTTAGTCTGGGATAGATGGCATTTCCTTGAAAAACAAATACAGATGTCCTTCAGCATAACTTACTCAAGAGCTCTGATCTTTGTGGACATTTGAGTATTGGAAACCATTTCAGGTCTCTGACCCAAACCAGAGCTTCTGTAGTCTGTAAAGACTTTTTTTTTTTTTTTTTAGTGTACATCAGCTTTATAGTAAATAATGACAGTTACAGAAACCAAGCAATTCCTTATAAATGAAGTCATCTAACTTCAAGACTAGATTAGGAGGGGTGTCCTCAGGTAAATGTGTTTGTGAGAATCAGTTCAGCTGGTATATATATGACATGAGGATTTCTCTCTGCAGCACAAATAGTGTGTCCTGTTAATGTGATTCCTAACATTGCAAAATCAAATGTCTAGTGAGTGTCCTGTAACATGCTAAATTCTTACCCAAAAGAGGCTAACTCAACTTTTGATTGTTTACTTGAAGCAAGAATTACCATGAGACTCCAGCCAGCATGGGTGTGGCTGAAGTTGACTCTGTGTGAATCTACTGTTCTATACCACTGCTATAATTTCTTTTAAAATACCGATGGATATCATACTGCTGTTGTATTACTCTTTGCTGCAGCTTAAAAAAAAGTCCTTTGCTGTACAGTCTGTGTTACTTTAAAGGTCCTGCTTGCATAACAAAATGCAGTCCAGTGGCAAATGAAGTAATAAAATAATATTAATATATGATAGCTTCTGATCTTTCACATTAGTACTGCTCATAAGGGAAGGAACTAATGTTTACACAACAATTAATTATAAAATGCATTGTACATGAACGAACCCCACCAACTGGGTGATTGGACACTGTCCATTCTGATACCTACATTTCTAAAGCCTCACCAGAATTTCTTGCTTTTTGGTGGCGTTTGTTATGCCTGTCTGCACTCACACTGAAGCAAACACTGGAGCACTTAAAGGCAATTGAAAATGACAGCTCAAGAAAGTAGGAAGTCTCAGTAGTTTGTCCTTTTCTTCTTGTGTTGCTCCCCACCCCCTCTGAATTTAGGGAAGGAATTGCAAATGATATTTCCTTTCCCTTCTTCAGCACAGAGATCATTAATGGGTTTCACCTTCTACTGCTGTCTAGGAACTTGCTCACTATCAGGTGACAGATCTGAATTGGTAGTAAATTTAAATGGGGTGCATGATAAGCAAAGATCAATTGCTTGACACCTGCTATGAAAAAGGAGTGAGGAAGTAGAACATTTCTACTTTAATGACAGAGGAGTGGTAGAGATATTTCTGCATTTATTGTGCATTTGATCCACCTGAAATGCAGCAGCAACTTGAGCTTTTGTCCAAAAGGGATTTTTGAACTAGAATCCTAATACAATTCACAGGGATAAAATATGCACAAAGTCCAATGAAACCCAACTCCAAACTTCATATAACAGAATGAAATGGGGAAACTTGCTGAAGTGAGTGTCCCACACTTCCCCAAAGTGGACCCCAGAGTCCAATGCAAGTAATTCTTACCATCAAGAAACAGCAAGGGATATAAGAGCCCCTTCTAAAAGAAGGGGTGAGTTGGCAAGTGGAAGGCTTGCAAAGATTTAGGAGGAACACAGTTAGCACATCTTTTCATATGCAAAATTGTGACCTTTAACTTTGTGCTTCCTGAAAAGTAAAATTTGGTAAAGCAAGCTTATCCATTCTGCTTTTGGTTTTTTTTGGGTTTTTTTGGTGTGTGTGTATTGTGTGTATTTGGTACTAAGAAAGAAATAGTGTTTAGTTACTGCTAGATGATTGTAAGTGGGATGCTTTGTCCTGTCTATTTCAAGGAGCATTGTGCTTTAAAATCTCATCTCTTATATTTCTTGATATTTACATAAACTGAAGGATAAGAGATGCTGGTTAGAGAATATTAAATACTGTTCTGTATGCAGATTAGACAAATGATCAAAGTACACTTTAAGATTCAAGTAGGAAATGTAGGAGTACTCAAGTTTTTAAGTCTTTTAAAGGCTGTCCTCCTTTAATTGTTCTTAATTTTTTCAGTACATTCATGCCAAAATGTTTCATTAGCAGTTGTACATTACTTCTGTATGTCGTTCAGTTTATAAGAGCATTTACAGATTTAACCATGAACTAAGGAAGAATTTATACCATAAATCAAATTTTAAAATCTTGATTTAAATGCCCTAAACTTGGAGGCAGCTGAATTACTCAAAGAAAAAGAGTCTAAATAAACATTTTAATTATATGCACTTTATCAGCACCTTCTTATTTCTACTAAATGTTTGTAGTTAACAGTATAACATTTAGATTATGTTCCTTCTGTCAGAGGTATCTGCAATTTCTTTGCCTGCTCATTCTCTGCTGGAGTGAAACCTCAGTCCCTGTTGAGTGGTCCAGCCCAAATGTGAAAACTGCCAGACTCTAAGTGCAAGGTTTATCTTTATAAATCTCACATGTGCATGCAAATGATACCTGCAGGTATAAACCAGCAGTTCCTTGACTAGTAGTCCTTCCATACCTCCTCTGTACTGGCTTCTCTTTTGCTGAAAAGTAGAAATACCTCAGTAGAGTGAATGCCATGAAAATACATGCCAAGAAAATGCCATGACTCCTTTGAAAATCTAGGTCCTGAGTGGATGGATGACTAGCCTGATACAGCTGCATGAGGGCAAATCCGAGATCAGTCTTACATTTTTTGTATAGGCAAATTTCTACAGCTTGGTGAGAAACTCGACTGTCGTATTTCTATTCAAGAAGTACAATGCCCTTAATACCCTAATTCTAACAATCAAAAGCATTGTTAATAAAAATAGGAAGTTATTTAAAGGCTTTTCCTACTTTACTCTCTCCCTTCAAAGCCCATGTAAGAACACAAGTCGGTTGTGTTGGATGTAGCTGTCATTACATAGCAAGTGATTCTTCACTGGGTGAAGAAAAGTGCTTTTCTGGAAAAGAAGCATGAGGTACTGAAATATGCTGTCTTTTCAGTTTACAACTTTTGGTGGTTTTCCACCTTATTGAGAGAACCCAGAAATAACACTTCTTGTTGAATCTTGTGGTGCTTACCTATTTAATTGTTGTAGGAGTTAACCTTTAATTCTGCTTTGGGGGTTGCAAACTTTTGCAAGTTGAGAGAAGGTGGTGATTCTTTTTCTTAGCAGTGCTTCTCTGCTGTACTTTAGGAATCTTTACAGAACTGTCATGAATATCCCATTTAAGTGGTAGGTCATGCAATATGTCCAGCGTGCAAATCCAGGTTTTAAGGACTCCATTTTCTGCAATGTAACTGTTTATTACAAAGGAAAAATCAGTTAGATGCCACCTCATCCCACTGAAAATATGGAATAAGCAGCTTTCTTGTGTGTTGGAACTCAGGTTGCTTGTGCTCCAAATATAGTATTTATACAACTGGACTGATGCTGCCTGGTAGGTGGAGTAATGCTGTGGGTCACATCACTCTTTCCTATGCTGATGTGGTGACTTGCATGCCAGTGGCCAGTA